ATATCCAAAATATATAAAGAATTTATACAACTCAATACAAAATTTAAAAATCTGATTTAAAAATGGGCAGAGGAACGGAAAAGAAATTCTCCAATGAAGATTTACAAATGGCCAATGGGTACATTTGAAAAAGATGCTCACAGATCATTAGGGAACTGCAAAAAAAAATAAAAATCACAATGAAATATCACCTCACACCTGTAAGAATGGATATCAATGAAAAGATAAGTGTCAGTGAGGATGTGGAAAAAGGCAAACTCTGGTTTACTGTTAATGAGAATGTAAATTGGTACAGCAACTATGAAAAACAGTATTGGGGTCCTTCAAAAAATTAAAAATATAACTAGAAAATTATTCAGCGATCCACCCTGGGCATATATATCCAAAGGAGATGAAAACAGCACCAGAACTTCCATATTTATTGTGGCATTAGTCACTGTAGCCAAGATTTGGAAACAACATAAGTATGTACTGGCAGATGAATGGATAAAGGTGTTCCCTCTGAAAAACAAAGAAATCCTGCCATAGGCAATGACATGGATGGACCTTGAAAGCACTGTGTTAAGTCAGACAGAGAAAGACACTGTATGAGATTGCTTACATGTGGAATCTAATAAATGTTGAACTAACAGAGAAAGTGAATAGAGTGGGGTTATCATAGGCTGGGAGGTGGGGGAAATCAGGAGATATTGGTCAAAGAGTAAATTTCTTTAGAAGTTAGAAGATGAGTAAGTTCTGGAAATCTAATGTACAGGATGATGATTATAGTTACCAGTATATTACATACATGAAAGTTGCTCAGGCGTAGCAGACTTCTCCTGACTCGCCTACGGCTCCCCTCAGCAGTGTATTTCAGTCAGTCTGCCTGTTCTTTTTCCCACTCTCTCTCTGGTAAAGAGGTCACCCCCAACACCTCTGGACTGTACCCCAGTTCTTGTATGCAAGATAAATAAATCTTTTAAAAAAGTGGCTAAGAAACACAGAAGGAATAATAATTATATGATGGATAACGCTATGGTAGTAATCATACTGCAAAACCCAAATGTAGTAATGTTACAGGACAACCCCGATATAAAACAGGTTGCCTGACTGTGGTCCTCACCTGCCCGCTTCAAAGGGACTCACACTGCAGGCACCCACAAACTGCTAACAAAAGTTTATTTACAAGGGAAGGAGAATGAGGAAATGAACGGCTCAGAGAGAAAAGGGAGATAAAGTCTTAAATGCGTCCTACCCATTCCGCTGACCTGGAATCCCAATGACCGGCCGAGACCAAACCTGCCTGGCCGAGAGCAGGAGCCAAGTGAGCCGACCCCACCCACATGGCTGGTCCTCGCAACTCTCCCTTTGGGGATCAAGGGATTTGTAGTTCCCAGTGTCTTGATGGAGTGGGGGTGGAGTCCACAAAGCCTGTATGGAGTTTGCTCAGCACATCCTTTCCCCCTAACAGTAAATCAATACTTTGTACACCTCAAACTTATACTATGTTATATGTTACTTATATCTCAATAAAGCTGGAGGAAATACTTTGTAATAAAAATGTCCCTACTGATCACAAATATTTAAAAATTACAGATAAGCAAAAGTAATAACCACTCACAATTCCGTCCCACCACATAAGTGACACGTATATCACAAATAGGTATTCTGTATAGCTCACTTACCCGCCTTTCTTTCAGTCAATCTTATATTTTGGAGAATTTCAGCTATGATTTATTTGCTCCAACCCTAATAGCTAATCCTTGTATCAGTTAGGCTACAGAGTCCATTGTTTGCTCAAAGACCATTTAGATGTCAAAGACCTTTTTTTTTTTTTTTTTAAGATTTATTTATTTATTTATTTATGCATACAAGAACTGGGGTACAGGCCAGAAGTGTGGGGGGTGAGAGGATTCACCAGAGACAGAGTGGGGAGCAGAACCGATGGATCCACTGAAATACACTGCTGAGAGGAGCAGCGGGGAGACAGGAGAGGTCTGCTGTGCCACGTGGGTTAACTCCCTGACTGGGGATCAAACTCATGCTGCAGTGGCTGTGGGTAGCTTCATAGTGCTGCATCTTAACCCTTTGCGCTACCAGGGAGGCCCTACAACTGGTAGATTTTTTAAGTTAAGGAGATTGCCCTCAATAATGTGGGTGGGCAAGTCTCATCCAATCAATTTTGAAGAATACAAGAGCAAAGAGAAGTTTCCCAGAGGAAGAATTCTTCCTCCTGTGTACCAGAGAAGTTCTGCCCATCTCAAGACCCTGACTAACAGAGTTTGATAAAGGAAGTGCAGTACTGCTGTAACAACACCTAAAACTATGAGTGGTTTCATAATTGGCAATAGGAAAAGGATGGAAGAATTCTGAGATGCATGACAGATAAAGTCTAGATTGTCTCGAATAGACTATTAGTATAAACAGGCACATTAAAGGTGATTCTACTAAGTGCTTGGAAATGAGAAATATGCTATTGAAAATGAGAGGAAAAGTGATTTTTGTTATACATTGGCAGAGAACTTGGCTGAATTTTTTTCTGTTAGGTGGAAAGCAGAACCTGTAAGCAGTAAAATGGATATTCAGCTAACACTTTTAAGCAAAGCCTGAAAGTCCAGTCTGGTTTCTCCTTGTTGCTAGTAACAGTAAAATGTTAAACAGTAAAATGTGGAATCTAATAAATGCTGAACTAACAGAGAAAGTGAATAGGGTGGGGTTATCATAGGCTGGGAGGAAAGAGAGAAAGTGAAAAGAGAGAAGCTGAAGAAGGAATTGTTAAACAAAAAATTAGAATTTGAGGATTTAGAAAGTTCTTAGCCTGCCCATATTGTAAATAAGGAGAAAGCACAGAGGGTGTGGTTGAAGAACCATTTGCTAGAGTAGGCATGTGACTTGTGGATCCAGTCAACTCTCAGCAGAAATCCTGAGTTTAAAAAGGAACAGAGGGCCTCCCTGGTGGCCTAGGAGTTAAGTCTCAGCACTATCACTACTACGGCCTGAGTTCAATCCCCCACCAGGGAGCAACCCACATGGCACAGCAGACCTCTCCTGCCTCGCCTGCTGCTCCCCTCAGCAGTAGATTTCAGTAGATCCACCTGTTCTGCTCCTCACTCTGTCTCTGGTGAATCCTGTCACCCCCTGCACCTCTGGCTTGCTGCCTAGTTCTTCTACAATAAATAAAGAGGAACAGAGATGGGACAAAATGAAGGCAGGCAGTGAGATTTCAGAAATTCTGTGGGCAGGAAAGAAACCGACAGACTTAGCAACTGCAAACGGGTCATCTTTCAAGATAAGTGAATGACTTGAGGGCAACTCAGAGGTCAGCAGTGTTGTGGTTACCACTGTGGACCTTGAAGGGATAGGGCCAGGGGGAGGTCCCTTATCTCTTTGGGCCACCCCCTTCATTCTGAGGGCTCCGGTGAGTTTCTGATAGAGGATGAAGCCAATGAGGGTCATTCTCAAGTCTTAAAATCTAATGGTATTTGTCCTGGTAGGTTTTCAGACTAGTTTGGGATCTGTACTCTTTTTACCTTCCAATTTTTGCCTCTTGTGATACTGGAATTCCCCTTAGCCAATAAAACAACAGAGTTTGAGAAGAAGGAAAGTCAATGTGTTGTCAACAAACAAGAAGGGCAGCAGACTGGAGTCTGAAAGACCACTTCCTGCTCACTAGCAGAGTGTAGGAGGTGTTTGACTGGAGTTAAAAAGAGGCGCATGGACAAGGATCAGCACAGCCTTCCTTGCAACAGGCATCCGGTGATTGTTGACAACTTGTTTTCGTCACAATCTGGCGGTTATTCTGACATTATGTTTACAAGGTTCCGCCCTGGGCTTGTTTTCAAGTAAGGCTTTTTTGCCCTCAGAACACAAGGAAAAGGAAAACAAGACATTAGTTTATAATAACTTATGTAAGTCAAGATTTGCTAAATTTAGAGGAAGGGGCTCTCTCTCTCTCTCTAAGCCAGGGAGGGACGCATCTCACTGCTGTATCACCTGTCCTATCATTGTATTACACTTTGGAACAGGTAACTAGTCGTCACAGATTCACAGATGGAAAGGAATTTTCTCCAGCATGATTCTTAGGTTTAACTTATTTGGATAACTTAGGTGAGATCTAAACTAATGGTGTTTAGATATTGGACTTAATGTTAGAATGATTTTAGGGATGCTGGAATGGAGTGAATTTAATTTGCAGGAGGGAAGGATATGAATTTTTAGGGGCCATAAGGCAGATTGCCCCCCCTCAAAAAAAGCATTATGAAGTCCTAATCCCCAGTACTTCAGAATGTGCCTTATTTGGAAACAGGTAAAATCACTAGGGTGGGCCCTAATCCAACAGGACAGGATTCCTTGCAGAAAAGGGAAATACACATGGAACAGACACATAGAACAGCCCGAAGATGAGAGACAAAGAATGTTAATTATATTGCCACAAGCCAAGGAATGCCTGGGGCTACCAGAAATTAGGAAGATGCAAGGAAGGATTTACCTACAGTTTTCAGACACCTGCTAACACGTTCATTTGGGACTTGAGTGTCCCAGCTGAGACAATCAATTTCCATTGTTATAAGCCACCCAGTTTGTGGGACTCTGTTACAATAGCCCCTATTGTTGAATCTCAGTTGGGGGTTTTATAGAGATACCTTAGCACAATTGCAAGCATTTCCAGAGGACTAATTCCTAGAGAGAGAAATGCTGGGTAGGAAAATAATAGACATTTCTGAGGCTTTGAACTTGCATTGCCCCAGTGTATGAAGGTATTAATTGGAATGATTTCCAATACTGTGAGAACATCCACTCCTTCCATTCTAACAGTATGGTTCATTTTTAATCACTGTTAATTTATGATTTGGGAAATTAATGCATCAAGAAACATATGACAAAGCATGTTGGGCAGGACATTATATACTTATATTCTGGAAAGATTTATGTCAATGTTTCTAGATTAGTTTGCGCTTGGTCTTCTAGAAAGTGATCAACCTAGGCAAAAGAGAGACAACTGTGAATGCCTTGTGCCCAAGAACAGATCAGAACAAGTCAATCACAGTGGAAATAAATATCAGCTTTATTAACACTCAAAGTGCCATTCATTTATGTTCATTCCTTAGTCCAGAAGGTTACTTAGAGTAAGCCTTTGCACCACAATCTTCCAAAAGATGAACTAACATGTAAGAAAAAGCAATTTTCATTGTGCTAATTATTGCAAGCCTTCATGCACGATAAATCTAAACAAAGATATGTGCCAACAATATACAAATTTCCATATAAACAAAGTCTTTGATCACTAACAAAATATAAACATGGATTGTTTTACATTAAAAAAAGCTATTTACGAGCAAGAAAAAAACAAATACATAAAAATTATAAAACTCAAATTATATACATTTTTTACAAGCACAATTATAAATGAACAACACAAAGTCAAAATGTGCATGAAATGTGGCACATACCACACTGTATCTGGCTTCTGGTAGTTTTTCTAATCATATTGGCTCCTTGTAACATAATTAGGGACATTCAACTTCAACAGTGGACTTTATTTCTAACACAAGTAATTTTACATGGTACCGCATAGTAAAAACAAGGTCTTCCATCAGTACAATAACATTGTCGGATTGGAAATTTCATTTCCAATTCTTTTTCTGCCAGTTACTTAAAATACACAGTACAGTATAAAGACACAGCAATGCATGTTTGGACATTTCTAAATCAATTTATCACCAATTACAGAGAATTACAAATGTCAATGTATTGTTTTATAAATGCAGCCTGACCTTGCCCAGTAGGAGAAAAAGGAGAAGTTGAAATATTTTAGGATAGAACGAAGGAAATATTAAAAAAAACAACAGTAGGACAGGCCAACAACAACTGGATATATAAAAACCTTGACATCTCTTCAAGGTAATTTAGTTGCTCACATTTTTTCATAGCTCTGAGAACTCAAAGGCCATTTTAGTGGACAGACTGTTTTTGCTGCTGTTTCTATTTTTCCTCTGAATTTGCACATCATAAAATTCTTGAAATTCATTGCTTTTCCTAGCAAGAGTATTTTAATTGATAGCTAAGTAATATCTGCATCCAATTCTGGAAATACAAATACATTTTGAATGGTTAAAAAGAAAATTAAAAAAATATTTTTGATCAGCCAGCTGAAAATATATTCATATAGTAAATAATCTCTCAGAAAGCTTTTATATATATTTAATTATTCTAACTAAACAGTACCCTTATAAAACAAGTTCATAAAAATGTAGGAATGGAAAGAAAGTAAGAAATTACTGGGATATATACATGTGCCTACAGACAGAAAAAGACATACACACACACACACACACACACCCTCATACACAGAGTTACAAGCATACTTTCAATCTAGTTGTGAATTTTAAAATACATATAAAACCAGAAAGTGATGGTGAACTCCTGAGTTCTTCAACAAAGATAGAACCATAGGTAAGTAAACTCTGTAAAAGCAACAAGGTCCAAGTAAGTCAGTAATAGCAGTTACTGATGGCTACATCTTGAAAGAAGTTACAATGTAGAGACACAGACAGTAGTTTAATGCACCCATTCAAGATGCTCATACACTCATCAACAATTATTGGTCAGAGTAGTAAATCAGTGTACAAATGAAACATTTCCAAAAATGTGCAAAAAAGTCAATCTTGATAGGAAAAGAACACCTCTGTACATAATTATAAACTGCCCAGCATTCAACTGATAAAAATGTTTAGAGAGAAACTCATAGGTGAAATACAGGGAATTTAATGGCTACATTTAAAAGTGTCCATCAGGTCAACGGGTAAATCTGCAAATTGCAAATGTTAAATGTTTATGTTCAAATTTATCCAAGTTTACTTTTATTTACAATGATAGCTGAATAAAGAGAACCATGTGAAATGTAAGAGATGTCAGACAGAAGTATTTTTGGTATTAACTCGTTTATAATATTTCAGAACACAGGATAGCAAATTTTAGAACGAACAGCAATAAAAAAAATGTAAACCTTCACTTGCTAATTAAGATTGTACTATAGACAATTGTTTTTAAGTAAGTACTCTTATCCTCAGACACTGCACCTTCAACTGGGCAGGGACTATGGCAAGGTATTGGCCCATTTTCTTTGCCCGTGAGCCATCCCAGCTCTAATGTTTGCACTAGTACTGTCTTCTTACTCCAGGTGGGAAAAATGTCTTTGGAAAAATGAGATTATGTCAAATCTATTTGGATCCTCAGTATCTAATAGAATTTAAGATGCAATTTTGTTACTTATTTCTCCCCTCCAAGTAATGCTAAAAATCACCTCTAACCACATGGTTTTAAAAAATAAATTCTAAGAATATATAAATAAGTGAAGACAAAAGTGCTTTTCAGTATAGTCACAAACTTGACTGTTAATGGCATTAAGAGACTCAGAAATCCTTATTTGGAGACAAATTCTGCATGTATACTGAAGAGCTGACTCTTCCTTACGTTCCAAAATGTTTATGGCACAAATCAGACGTCAGTCTATAACCTCCTTTTCTTCACAGCTTTCCTCAAATGCCCCTTAAGTCAAACACAAGTTCATAAATGTCAAGCAAGACACTAGGAAGAATACACCACCAACCTGAGGCATCATATGCCACTGTATATGTATGTTCGTCTATGGTCAAGTGACGTTACTAAGATTGGCACACACACAAACTCAAGTTTGTAATGTCTACATAGTTCCTTAATAGATGAAGTAAATTCCGCATGTCTAATTGGAAACACTGAGCACCTGTCCTTTTACTTGAAGGATAGACTGAGATATAAATTCTACTAGTACCTGCTTTATCATTTTTACACAATCAGCTTACAAGTGGGCAGAAGTAACAGTGCTAATTATTTTGGCTATGTGAGCTGGGAATATAAAAGCTTTGGTTTAGAGTGATTCTGATAATACAGATTGTGAATACAAACAAGAAGTCATCAGGCATAAGGAATAATAGTACTCACTGATTTAATGCCTTTGCAGTTATTAACAAAAAGATGGTTATAAGTTTAAATGCACAATTATGAAAAACATGAAGAATTACAGAAGAAACTGTGTACAGGCAACAAATAAAATTTATTCTTTTCTTTACTATAGCTATGACCCCCTCCTTCAATTTTCTGGAACCAAACCACGACCATAATATCACTGAGAGAAGATTCTGTAGACTCTCCAGAGAGCCCATTACTATAGCTCTGACAAGTGAGTGTGAAGGAAAAACTGGCCACAACACTCCTACACCTCTCGTGGCATACTGTCCAGACCATGGCAGAAGTCAAAGCAAATCTAAAGACAACTATGAAGTAAGAACAGTGGCTTCACAGCACACCTTCCCTAGCCAACCAAAAAGAGGTATGAGACAATTTCCTTTTGAATACTTGGTAAGCTAAGGAAGCTTGTTTTGATGACAGAATTTCTATTCCAAAGTTCATAAAGAACTACGCAAAATCAGTTACTTTCTATTTAAGATTTACATATATGCTCACAATTATACACACAAGTTCAATTTTAATCTACTTTTAGCAAACAAGAGCTTGGCAATTTACAATAAATACCTCTGTTAAACAATCATTTGTACTAGCTACTTGCAGAAAATGTGCTGGCTTTCCTAGCAGAGGCCAGTTTACACTCATCCATCATCAGTAGGTCATACACATTTGAGTTGTTCTTCCAAGAACAGTCTAATATAATGAAACATTCATACCTTTTCTTCCTTCCCACCCCTGCCCCAAACACACACACACACTCTTCACAGAAAAAAGCAAGCTAGAGTTTTAGTCAAAATGTTACTTAGAAAGGATTAGAATTCACTACCCCTGGATTTCTTGCTCATTACCCTAACTCACATGGCCTTAACATTTGTAAAACATTTAAACAAGCTCAGGGCAAAAACCACCATTCTAGCTCTGCTATAAAAATCATAATTGAATCATGATATACAAAGAATTTGGACAGCGCCAATGTGATTGAAAATCAAGTAATCAACCTAAAAAACAATTTTCTATGTCTCTTCAGAACTAGAATACCTCTTATATTTATCTTAGAAGTTCACATCTAGTAGAAACTGAAGTGTGTCTATCACAGACTAATGCAAATTTTTCTCTTCTAACATAAAAAAGAAGAGGTAGTAAAGGGAAGAGGAGGAAACAGACATAAGAGTTTAAGAATCAATACACAGTCTAAGGCCAAATGAACTTTTGAAACCTACTGATTTGGGGAAAACCTTCATTTCAGTGGGCAACTTGAATTATTCTTGATATAAAATAAAATTAAGGCATAAAGAGAAAAAGGCACTACCAGAAATTAATAATTTTCTTTTCATTAATGTTTAACTAATCTTAAAACTCAAATAAATACGAACATTTTATTTGTAATAAAGACCAAACTTAAATAATGCTGTTGACAGAATTCATTTCTATCAAATGTTTTGGGTATTTTAACAATTGGGACCAAAATAAAATATTCTTTTCTTCAAAAGAAACAGCAGGAAAAAACCCACCATAGTATGGAATAAATGTCCCCTTCACTGGGACTAGTAGGGTTCTTTTAAGAGAGCATCTTGAGAAGAGAGGCTGTCAGACTTATGCGGGGCTGGCGGGGGGCGGGGGGATCCTCCAATTTGGGAATTTTTTTAATCTCTATTGTGAATACCACTTTAGTATATATGAGCCAATGATTACCGAAATTACTTTCCCCTTACTTTATAACTATTTGTTTGCTTATGCTTCCTCCTAGACTGTGACCTTCTTAAGGATAAGTTAATTTAGTACCTGATACAATAAGCCATAATTATGAGTAGGCAAATGAAAGACTCATCCTATTTAAAAAAAAACAAAACAAAACAAAACAAAAACCCCTGTTACATTGCTATACTTGATTTACACCAGGTGATTTTATATTAAACTTGGTCTCTAAACCCCAAATGAAATCATTGGCACAGAACTCTGCCAGGGGTCAAGGAGACTGGATCTGGTAAATATCTTGGCTTTTGCATCCAAGCTTGGTAATTCCTATTAACTATTCAGATTTGACTTTCTTAGTTCATGTGTCTCAGAAACACTACAGACCAGACCCAACATGTGTACGAGCTGAAGTAGCAAAAGGCTTAAGATACAATTCCATCTTTTAAATGTAGTTTCTATAGGGAATAAGAGAAAGATTCTCTTAAGTGAAAGCCACTTCAATTTACTTGGAAATAAATTTTAACTTCAGCACATGTATTTACATTTCAATCTCATAAATTAAGTATTTTTTGACTGTGCCTTTGAAAACTTTCTAAGGCAGTAGTCTTTAGCCATTTTTCAAGTTAGAAACTTGTTTTGTAAATGAGGAAACTTGGAAGGTTTTCAAGATATTCATACTGAAAATTTCAGTCTGTAGACAGTTTAAAGAATTTCCAACCATCATAATTTCCATTAGTCATTACAGTATTTTTCAATCCTTTTATTCAGTACACCTTGTTTGCAATGTAGAAGATCTTATATTTTGGTCCAAGCCCAAGTCATGCCATTTTGAATCTCTCAAGGCCTAAATAGAAAGATATTTCCTGAAAAGCACATGTAAGACTGCGAGTGAATCTCCTCCAGCACCAAAAAATCTGCCACTATTCAAAGCAGAATGCATTTTAAAGGCACAAAGTCAGCAGTCTGGTCATTTTCCAGCCTTAGCAAAGAAACATTACAGTATAGTAGAATCAGTTGTGCATTTGAAAAACAAAATACATTTAGAGTCATCTCAAAAAGTTGAAATTTTGTTTGTAAATCCACACCATTATTAGAAAGAAAAACTGGAGTGTTATATTTAACTGTCCCTGATAAAGGTATTTCGTTTCAAAATTTTCTTTATTAAATTTACTTTTGGTCTTTCATAACCCCCACCCACTTCAAGCTTTTCTGTTCTTGTAGTTTTTAAATATATTAACTTTTATTGTAGTTTTTTGGTACCTTCACAACTCATTTGAAATAAATTCACATCACATTTTATATAGTAACTCTCTAAAAGTCTATTTTAAAAGTCCTTACATAAAGAACAATACTTTCCCACAGCTAATAATATTTTTCCTATAAAACAAAGGTCTTCTGCAGCAGTGTTAAATTAGTAGTTTCATTTCAGGTGATTTTATTTTCTATAGCATTAGAAGAGAGAAAAAGAGACTGAAAAGCAAACAGTTTGCTTTGGGTCTTACAGTCTCCCAAAATTTATCTCTAAAGAGCATTTGTCTCATATTCTGCATTGCTAGTTACCCTGACAGACCAAAAATAAGCCAAACAGAAACCCACAACCACACACGACAAAGAAATGAAGAAAAATCCCACTGGCCTAAATACAATTCTCTTGCTCAAGTAGAAGAGATGCCCTCACTCACGAAAGATAAATTATAACAGATCCACATCCTTGGGGAGTATATTTATAGCACAAGTATGGCAACTGATTTCCTTAGGGGAGGGGCCACTAGTCCACCTTCTTCCTTGCAAGCTGCTTCCTTTGATTTTAAGGATCTGCAAAATGCTTTAACAACTCTATTTGTGCCGTGACTTCTTTTCAAACAGTTAGTGGAATTTCAAATTCCCTACAGGGAGTGCCAGATTGGACCTTGACAGAGTAAACCAAGATCTATCCTAACTTAAAAAAACAAAGTATTTTAAGAGCGTCCATAAGAGAGCATAACTAATAGGAAATAAAAATACCCACGTGCCTTAAGAATCTCATGAAAGGCATAATATTTAGGGCCTCCAGGAAGACTACTACTTTCCAGACCTTTAAAATAAAGTACTTAGCACTTGCTCTGACATGCTTGAAAAACTGCAAGTGGTCAAATTACTGCTGTCACTCAGGTTTTCCAGTAGCACAATCCCATGAGAAATACTGGGGTTTCCTGGTTGCTGCCTTCCATCGAATGGCCTTGCTCTTAATTATTATCCTAGAGATACCTGGGGATTTTAGTCTTCCTGTGTAGTAGTTAATACTCTGTTTTAATATGCTTCCTTTTACCATAGTTAGAAATGACTTTTGAGGAAAGAATAGATACAGATGGTTGAGGTCAACAGGCTGTATGTTTAAATTCATTTTGTTTCTAAAAAGGAAGTTACTGATTTGGGTACAAGTGCAGCTGGTAAGGAAAGGATTGCTATTTGCTATTTGTTGAGATTATTCACCTTTGATAAGAAGTAAAGGTATATCTGCTCTTGTAAAAACCCTCATTTTGCATTATATCACTTGATATTTACTTTTCCTAAGGAACCTGCCATGAGAATGGCTGTTTTCATTTTATAACTGGGGCTGCTCTTTGCAACAGGATTTTTCAACTTTGGCACTTTTGACATTTTGGGCAGGGTAATTCTTTGTGGGCAGTAGGGGGTGCTGTCCTTGTATATTCTAGTTTTTTCAGCAGCATCCCTGGTCTCTCTCCACTAGATGCTAACAGCATCTTCATAACATGGAAACCAAAAATGTCCATGGGACATTGCCAAACACCAAGTGAAATCATACCCACACCGCCCTTGACAACCAGTTTCACATAATTGGTTTTTGAGATGCTATAGTATTCTGTGATTCCAAGAACAATGGTTTTATCTCATGGATACTCCAAGTTAAATTCTTAGTTCCTAGATGTTACCTGTGGGGGAATCAGGAACTAAGAATAGGAAGATAGTATACATGATTTTGATTATTTCTCCTTTCCCTTAATTATGAGACTTCCCCCCTCAATTAAAGAACATTGCTTATAAGTTCTTAGTTCTTTTTCTTCCCCCCACTATTTCTGTTGATTGGCAAATATGGTCTCCTTTGCTCACACAATATCTGCTTGTCTTTTAATTTGCATTTACTTATTGGTTTACCATATCGGCTTTAAGATATATATATATATACACACACACACACACATACATATATATATATATATTTAAGCAGAAAGTTATCCCTCAAGGTTTATAGATTCCAGTAACATGGATCTACGATAGTGTATTTGCTTATTATACTGGTAGGTTTAACAAACATACCTCTTGAAAATTCATATTTTCTATCAAGATTCCTACTGAGCAAAAAGCTTGGTAGACAGAGGTTAGGATCTAAAGAATACAGATATAAGAAGGAGCCCATATTCTTTAAATTGAGTACCTACCCTAAACTCAAGTTTAGAGCTCAATCCCACAAATCAAATGAGGATCTATTTAAATACTACCGCTAAAAACTACAAATTATACATCATTTTCTTTTCCTTGTTTTCCATGTCTTCCCATCACCACCAATCTGTCAGTGACACAGGAAAAGACTCTACAATCTTTAGGTATTCCACATGATTTGTTTGTACTACAAAGAGTGACTATGTACTAAAGTGCTTTATCTCTCTGAACAACATCAGTATATTATAAAAATTAAAAAAAAAAGTTTCAAGTTCTTGTAAGGGAAAAAAAGATTAAATATAAAAAATTTAGGTTACTATTATTAAGCAAATTTAAACAAGAATCAAGAGAAATACTTTCCCTCTTGTCTTTTTTTTCTCCCCATCTCTCTTTTTTATAAAAAAAGAAAAGTGCAGTCAGAGAGAAGGTGAATGAATAGATGGGAGCTGGTAGAGGCACAGGAGAGGTTACTGGTGCTAGTGATAGTGCACAAACATGTGCCTTAGGAGTTCATCAGCTGAAGGTCTCAGTTTGGCCTCTACAAAGATTCGTTTGAGAAAATCTCGAGTATAGTCTGAGACATGAGGTGGCAGCTTTGGGTTTGTTGGCTGAGTGGCGATTTTAAAGATGGCAGCCATTGCTTCAAATTCTGCCCAAGGAGGCTTTTCAGTCAGCATTTCTACCACAGTACAGCCCACACTCCTAAAATGAAATTAAAAATATATATTACTCAAACAATATAATCACAGAAGTCAATTACCTACAAAATGTGAAAGAGAAATGAAGTCCATATATATTTAAATATGACTTGACTTCAAATGTAAACTTTTATCAAAAAGTTGTAATTATACAAAAACATAACTCAAAAGGACAACTGCACCCTTATGTTTATTGCAGTACTATTTACAGTAGGTAAGATATGGAAACAACCCGAACTCCCAAATATAGATGACTGGATCAAGATGTTGTACATATACACAATGCAATATTACTCAGCAATCAAAAAAGATAAACTCATGCCATTTGCAGCAACATGGATGGAGCTGGAAGGGATCATGCTCAGCGAAATAAGTCAGAAGGAAAAAGAAAAAGATCAGATGGTTTCACTTATAGGAGGAATACAGGAAACCAAATAAGAGATCAGGAAAAAAAAAAAAAAAACTAGCAGGTAACTATAAATCAAAGACATTATGCAGGGGAGGGAATGGGAGAGGAATCAAAATGGGGTGGGAAGAGAGACCATGGTAATGGTTCATGGGTGAATTGGTGGCGGACATTTTACACAGACTACAAAAATGGAACAATAATGTAAAATATATATATATATATATATTTTTAAAAGGTTGTAATTATATAAATCCATACTTCAATATAAAAATGAATGAAAATAACCACAATTTAGGGATGGACTCAAATAATTAGAGAAAGAACTTTATCATATAATTTTTGCTATATTTAATTCTCTAACCCCACATTATAATTTTTTTAATATTTTATTTTATATAATTCTTACATCATTTTTCATTTTTGCACAATGTATGCATTTTCATTTTGGTTATATTCCCCATACAACTGCACCACCCCCTTATTTTGATTTTGACCCTAATCCTTCCTCTCCTCACCCCACCCCCCCAACATAATGTGTCTCTGGTTTATAGTTGCTTGTTGATTTTGATTTTTACTTTGTATTAATTAGTCTTTTTCCTGGTCCCTTATTTAGGTTTTCTAGATTCCTGCTAGGAGTGAGACCATCCGGTATTTTTCTTTTTCTTTCTAACTTATCTTGCTGAGCACCACATTATAATTTTTTTGTATCTCACTAAATAAAAAGAATATAAACATAGGTACCTAAAATCAATATTAAAATTTATTTGGGGAGGGGCGGAGCAACATGGCGGCGAGGAGACGCTGCGAGTAAGATCTCCCATTAAAAAAAGTGAATAGGGAGGAAAAGCGGCAGGTCCCAGTCAGAACCGGGACACGGAAGATAAACGGACGACTCCAGCAAACGGCCGAAGAAGAAAGTTGCCATAAAAGAGGACCAGAAGGGAGGGAAGCGCAGAACCCTGCTCCCCTCCCCCGCCCACAGAGGCGGCACTCTCCGACCAGCAGAGAGGAGGAAAACAACAAACTAAAACGACCAACAAGAACAAACGACGCAGCAAGCGGGACTGTGAGTGGAAAGGAACTACTGCAGCCACCACACCCCGTGAACGGGAGCTGAGGAGAATTCTGCAGGATTCGCAGAGGAGGTGAGCTCCAGGCGCCATTGAAGAGAGACTCCGCCCCCGGGGAGGAGGCCAGGACCAGCACACAGCCCAGGGCCGCCGGTAACTTGCGCAAAGCGGCGCGCTGGAAAAGCTGACGTGGAGCGGGATCGGGATTGCGCGGAAAGGCGGCGCGGAGCGGAAACGGGATCACGCGAAAAAGCAGAGCAGTTGAAAAAGCAGTGCAGGGCTTCCCCGGTGGTGCAGCGGTTGAGCGCTGGGTTGCGAAGCTGCCAGCAGCCTCTGTAGCGCCGGTTCGATCCCCGGCTGCTCCCCGGCCACCGGGCGAGGGTCCCACATGGCGTGCAGACCTCTCCTGCCGCCCGCTGCTCCCCTCAGCAGTGTACTTTGGTCCTTCTGCCTGCTCTGCTCCCCGCTCTGGCTCTGGTGAATTCTCTCACCCTCCCGCGCTTCTGACTGTACCCAATGCTTGTATAAAATAAATAAATCTTTAAAAAAAAAAAAAAGAAAAAGCAGTGCAGTTGAAAAGCAAACGCGGATCCGGATCGGATCGCAACTGCCCAGGTCCCCGCGCCTGCGACCTAGGCTTGCGGGGAGACGCGCGGAGGCCCTCACCTTGTGAGCAGGAACCAGGCGCCCAGGCACGGGAGCGGGATTCAAAAGGCGACATTCCCGCGCCACTGAACTGGGCTACAGCCCACGTCCTGGAACTGAGGGCTTTGGAACTGAGACTCGGGGCACGAAATTAGGGGCGTGCGCTCCCCACGATGGTGGGGCACAAAGCAGACACAGCACCCCAAAGCCGTTGAGGTGTACCCTACCATCCCCGCTCTGTTCCCTGTCCCACGGGGTGGATAATCAGCTCCCCAAGGGCTCTAGGAAAGATCTCTGGCGCCACCTAGCGACTTGAAACCAGCAGAGGCTCCTGAAGGAGCTAGTGGCCAGCTGGGGAGTTAGCCCACGCCGGGCCCCTTCCGACCAGTAGTTTGAGCGCACAGGGGGAGCGAGCACCCACAGCCGGGGCAGACCAGGCGCGCAGAAGAGTGTGCCTGAGACTGGACGCGCAGGGAGTGTGTCCCACATCACCATTTTAGAACAGGAACATTTCTTCAGTAAAGACTACCTACAGAAGGCTTCCTCAGGAGCCAGAGGTGAGCGGGGGGAAGTTCGCCCACGCCAGACCCCCTCTGGCCTGCAGTCCAAGCCCAGAGGGGGAGCAGGAACTCACCGCCGGGGCAGACCAGGCGCACAGGGGAGTGTGTCCCCACATCGGCATTTTAGAACAGGGACCTTTCTCCAGTAAAAACTGCTTGAAACTGACAGATGACTCCTGGAGGAACCAGAGGGGAGCAGAGAAGCTCACCCAAGATGCCGGCCAGTCCCAACTACACAGTGTCCCAACGCATACGGCAAATTAGAAAACAGACAGTAGGGAGGAGAAGAACCACACGCAACCTAGCTACTCCCCAGGGAAAAAGCACACCACAAAAAGAAAACCAGCCCCCAGATTGCAACGACAGTAACTTGGAAGAACTTCTGAGCCTTCCAGAAAGAGAATTTAAAATTGCCATGATTAAAAAACTGACAGAAGTCATAAAGGAAAACAATGATAAGGGAAAAATAATCAACGATCAGAAGAATGAAATTGAGTCCCTAAAGAGGGAAGTAAAAGAAATGCAGGAGATCAAAGAATTAATGGAAGAACTAAAGAATTCTGGGAAAAGCAATGAAAGCAGAATAGATGAAATGGAAGAACGAATAAGTTCTCTTGAAGACACAGAAATAAAAAGAACCAAAACAGAAAAGGAAAGAGAAGTACGAAGGAAAAAGAACGAAGAAAGACTACGGGAACTATCTGACTCCATGAGGAAAGGAAATATAAGAGTTATAGGAATACCAGAAGGAGAGGAGAGAGAAGTAGGAACAGAGAAAATTTTCAAAGAGATAATTGAAGAGAACTTCCCAAATGTGAAGAAGGAGCTGAAAATTGATATACAAGAAGCAAGAAGAACACCAAACTTCCACGACGAAAAGAAAAATACAGCAAGACACATAATAGTAAAGCTCCCAAGAATCCAGGACAAGGAAAAAATAATGAAGCTGACAAGAGGGAAGAAACAGATAACATTCAAAGGAAAACCAATCAGGCTGACATCAGACTTCTCCGAAGAAACACTACGGGCAAGGAGAGAGTGGAGGGACATAGTCAACAGACTCCAAGAAAACAGATGCCAACCAAGAATACTCTATCCCACAAAGCTCTCCTTCCTCTTTGAAGAAAGAATATGGACCTTCTCAGACAAACAGAAACTCCGTAATTTCATTACAACTAAACCCCCACTCCAAAAAATACTACAAGGAGTCCTAAAGCCAGAACCTCAGAGGGATGAATAACAATGAAAGAAGGCCAAAAAAAAAAAGGTTATTAAAAGAATAAATAAATAAAATCAAAGGAAAGACAAACACAATGGCAAATACAGATGTTAACATATCAATATTAACTCTAAATGTAAATGGACTAAACTCTTCAATAAAAAGACACAGAGTTGCAGCCTGGATTAAGAAACAAAACCCAACCTTTTGCTGTCTCCAGGAAACACATTTAGCTACAAAAGATAAAAATAGGCTCAAAGTTAAAGGATGGAAAACAATCCTACAAGCAAATGGACCAAAAAAGAAAGCAGGAACAGCTATACTTATATCAGATAAAACAGATTTCAAACTCAAAAAGATAAAAAGAGACCCCAATGGTCACTACATTATGATCAAGGGGACAATACTTCAAGAAGAAATAACACTCATTAACATATACTCACCAAACGAAGGAGCACCAAAATATATCAGACAACTGTTGTCCTCTCTGAAAACAGACATCAGAGAAAACACATATGTAGTGGGAGACTTCAACACACCACTATCAACAATGGATAGATCAACAAGACAAAAAATAAGTAAAGAAACCAAAGCTCTAAATAAGGACCTAGAGCAATTGGGCTTAACAGACATCTATAGAACACTAAACCCCAAAAAAACGGAGTACACATTTTTCTCAAGCGCACACGGATCATTCTCCAGGATCGATCACATACTGGGACACAAGACAAACATCAACAGATACACCAAGATTGAAATCATATCAACCATCTTTTCTGACCATGAAGGCGTCAAACTAGAAATAAACCATAAAAAGAAGGCAAGGAATTTTCCTACCTCATGGAGATTAAAAACCACACTACTGGAAGACCACTGGACTAATGAGGAGATCAAAGGAGAAATTAAAAAATTTTTTGAATTGAACGACAAGGAGGACACCAATATCCTAAATGTATGGGATGCAGCAAAAGCAGTAATAAGAGGAAAATATATAGCAATAGAAGCTCACATCAAGAAACAAGAAAGAACTCAAAGAAACAACCTAATCTCGAAGCTCAAAGATCTAGAAAAAGAACAATAAAAAAACCCCAAAACCAGTAGAAGAAAAGAAATAATAAAAACCAAAGCAGAAATAAATGAAATTGAAACTAAAAAAACAATCCAAAAGATCAATGAAACCAAGAGCTGGTTCTTTGAAAAAATCAATAAAATAGACAAACCCCTAGCCAGGCTCACAAAGGAAAAAAGGGAGAAAGCACAAATAAACAGGATCATCAATGAAAGAGGAGAAATCACAACGGACACAGCAGAAATCAAAAGAATAATCAGTAACTACTATGAACAGTTATATGGAAACAAGTTTAACAATCTAGAGGAGATGGACAAATTCCTACAACTCTACAATCACCCAAAGCTAGATAAAGAAGAAATAGAACACCTAAACAGACCAATTACAAGCAGCGAAATTGAAATGGTAATCAAAAACCTCCCCAAAAACAAAAGCCCAGGACCTGATGGATTTACAAATGAATTCTACCAAACATTCAGAGACGAATTAGTGCCTATCCTTCACAAACTCTTCCAAAAAATTGAGAAGGAAGGGACAATACCAAACACGTTCTATGAAGCCAACATTACACTAATACCAAAACCGAACAAGGACAACACAAAAAAGGAAAACTACAGGCCAATCTCCCTAATGAACACTGATGCAAAAATCCTCAATAAAATTTTAGCTATCAGAATCCAACAATGGATCCATAAGATAATTCACCACGACCAAGTAGGATTCATTCCAGGGACACAAGGATGGTTTAACATCCGAAAATCAATCAACGTTATCCAGCACATCAACAAAAAGAAATATAAAAACCATATGATAATATCAATAGATGCTGAGAAAGCTTTCGACAAAGTGCAACACCCATTCATGATAAAAGCCCTTGAAATTCTTGGGATACAAGGAACATACCTCAACATCATAAAGGCCATCTATGACAAGCCAACAGCCAGTATCATTCTCAATGGTGAAAAGCTGAAAGCAATTCCATTAAGATCTGGAACAAGACAAGGATGCCCACTCTCACCACTGCTTTTCAATATAATACTGGAAGTCCTAGCCAGAGCAATAAGACAAGAGAAAGACATCCAAGGAATCCAAATAGGAAAAGAAGAAGTCAAACTATCACTATTTGCAGATGATATGATATTATACATAGAGAACCCCAAAAACTCCACAGAAAAACTAATTCAACTCATCAGTCAGTTCAGTAAAGTGGCAGGATACAAAATCAACACGCAAAAGTCAGTAGCCTTCCTATACACAAACAATAAATCTGAAGAAGAAGAAATCAAAAAAACCATCCCTTTTGTTATTGAAACAAAAAAAATCAAATATTTGGGAATAAATCTAACAAAAGAGGTAAAAGACCTAAACAAAGAAAACTATAAAACACTGTTAAAAGAAATAGAAGAAGACACAAAGAAATGGAAAGACATCCCCTGCTCATGGATTGGAAGAATAAACATTATTAAAATGGCCATCCTTCCAAAAGCAATATACAGATTCAATGCTATTCCAATCAAAATTTCAATGTCATTCTTCAAAGAAATAGAACAATTATTGATGAAATTCATATGGAATCACAAAAAACCCCGAATAGCCAAAGCTCTCCTGAAAAAAAAAGAAGGGAATGGAGGCATCACACTCCCAGACTTCAAACTATACTACAAAGCCATAATCATCAAAACTGCATGGTATTGGAACAAGAACAGACATACAGACCAATGGAATCGAATAGAAAATCCAGAAATAAACCCACAGATTTATGGTCAACTAATCTTTGACAAAGGAGCAAAGACTATGCATTGGAGCAAAGAAAGTTTGTTCAATAAATGGTGCTGGGAAAACTGGGTCACTACATGCAAAAGAATGAAGCTTGACCACTACCTCACACCATACACAAAAATCAACTCAAAATGGATTAAAGAACTAGACATAAGACCTGAAACCATAAAATATATAGAAGGAAATATAGGCGAAACACTACGTGATTTGCACATCAAAGACATCTTTACAGACACATCACCCAAAGCAGTGATAGTGAAGGCAAAGATAAACAGCTGGGACTACATCAAATTAAAGAGCTTCTGCACAGCAAAAGAGACAATAACAAAAACAAAGAGAAACCCCACCAACTGGGAGAACATTTTTGCACCCAACACTAATGATAAAGGACTGATCACAAAAATCTGCAATGAGCTGACGAGACTCAACAACAACAAAGAAAAATAATCCAGTCAAAAAATGGGCAGAAGAGCTAAAAAGAAACTTCTCTGAAGAGGAAATGCAAATGGCCAACAGGCATATGAAAAAATGTTCAACATCACTTGTCATCAGGGAAATGCAAATCAAAACTACCATGAGATACCATCTTACACCAGTGAGAATGGCACATATTAAAAAAACTAGCAACAACAAATGTTGGCGAGGGTGTGGAGAAAAAGGAACTCTTCTGCACTGTTGGTGGGAGTGCAAAACTGGTCCAACCACTATGGAAAGCTGTGTGGAGATTTCTGGACCTACTAAACATAGAACTTCCATATGATCCAGCAATTCCACTCGTAGGTATTTACCCAAAAGACACAGAAACATCAATTCCAAAGAACACCTGCACCCCTATGTTTACAGCAGCACTGTTTACAATAGCTAAGCTTTGGAAACAACCCAAATGCCCAAAAATAGATGACTGAATCAAGAAGATGTGGTACATATATACCATGGAATATTACTCAGCATTCAAAAAGATAAACACATGCAATTTGCAGCAACATGGATGGCGCTGGAAGGGATCATGCTCAGCGAAATAACCCAAAAAGAAAAAGAAAAATACCGGATGGTCTCACTCATAACAGGAATCTAGAAAACTTAAATAAGGGACCAGGAAAATGAATAACTTTAACAAAGTGAAAATCAAAATCAACAAAAAACTATGAACCAGAGACACTTTTAGGGTGGCGGGGGCGGGAGGGGAGGGATTGGGGTCAGAATGGGGGGGCTGCAATTGTATGGGGAATATAACAATAAAATTTAAAAAAAATAAAAAAATAAAATTTATTTGGATGGCAAACAGAAAATGGTCATTTTACATTCTATCTTAAAATTATTAAACAAAGATTCAAAACTGAATTATAAGAGACTAACAATAAAGATTAATTACTTTTAAAGTTCTTCAGGGAAAGAAAACAAAGATAGTTTTCTAATCTGAAGTTTGATTAAGACAAAATCCTCCCTAAAGAATGAAGAACACACACACACACAAATGAAGAACAATTTCAAGGACTATATTTATTTAGTTAATTATAAGTCTCAAAGAGGCATAACTAAAATACTAATTCTAGTAACCCTGATTTCAAAAGTACAAGAGATCATTTAACTTCCATCCTGGGTGGAAATACCTAAGGCGGCAGGTGATTTCAGGCAAACACATCAAAACCTACCAGATATCTGCTTTTCTGCCATAGCCTTCTCCACTAATTACTTCAGGGCTCATCCAGTATGGTGTGCCTGTGACAGATTTCATTCCTGTCCCCGAAAGACAGATGGTTTGAAGCCGTTTGCTAGCCCCAAAATCTCCTAATTTGACATTGCCTGTTGAATCTCGCAGAATATTTGCACCTGAAAATAAGCAATTATATCCTCATTTTGTTATCTTACTGGTTGTTTGGAATATGAAAAAAACAATGGCAGAGAATTACTTAGTAGACTCTTCAATCTGTCTCCAAAATTAGGCTGCTTTTCATCTTCTGAGCAGTACTGGCATAAAGCCAGTCACTCAGGCAGTGCTCATTAAGCATGTACTTCATGAACAACTGAATGCTTAGAGAAATGCTTAGGGGAAATCTATATTACAGACTGGGGAGAATATAGACTATCTCCACTGTGAGCATCTGCATTTGTTTTTTTGTGCCAAGACTATTGCCCAAGCTAGTTAATAATGGCTCTCCAAAGGCTCTCCCCAGGAGAAAGTTTGGGATCCACTCTCTCTGTGCCATACACTGAAGTATGCCACAGTATTAGTGATCCTCTAAATCAGGGACTGCCCATTTACCATCTCCCACCATCCAATACTTAAGAAAGGACACTGTCAAAAAAGTCACTACCTCTAAATTATTAAACTAGAGGAGGACAATAAACAAGTAAGCTTTGTGTTAGGAAGAACAGACTCAGGCAGGTCACAGACAGGGTGAGCTCCCTCCCAGTCTCTAGGGAGGGATCACCTGTGCAAAGCCAATGCCCATCCATAAAAGCAGTTGAGGAGGAAATGTATAGCCAGGTCCTCAGTACAGCTTTCTAGTTTTTGAAAATTCTATTTTGGATACATTAAATGTAAGTTATTAAGGAGACTTCAAACATACACAAAAGCAGACAGGATAACAAATACGTACCCATCACCCAGTGCCAACAGTCATCTAGACAATCTCCCCAACCACACTTCCAGCCACTCCTTCTTTCCCGCTCAAATTATTTGAAGCAAATTCAAGACATCATGATCAATAAATAGTTCAGTATATATCTTTAAAAGATAACTCTTATCACACCTACGAGGATGGATAATAACCCCTTAAATTATTATATTAAATATATTCAGTGTTTTTTATAGGTAAAATAAAGTCAGAGTCCAAGTAAAGTTCATACACTGAGACTTACTATCTTTTAAATCTTTACTGACCTAAAGTTACTTCTAATCTTTTTTTCCTTTGCAATCTATAAAGAATCTAAGTTGTTTGCCTATCGTTCTCTTATGGTCTAGATTTTGCTAACTCCTTCCAAGGGGGTCATTTTATATGTACATCCCATACATACCCATACATATTTTCTATAATTCAGTACCTAAATTATAATTCTATAAATCAGTAGCTAAATCAATATATACATATACACACATGTATTCATAAAAGAAAGGCAGAATTAAGGAACCCTATTATGAAATGAGTTGGTTTCCTGGCAACAACCAATTAGATTTTAGCCTAAGTTTCACTACAAACTCATAGGTTTAAACTTAAAATTAATCAATTGTCTCTCCCTCCCACTCCCCATTTAAATAATGCACCAGTTAAAAAATTGGGAAATACAAAAGAAGTAAAAGTGATGCAGAAGAAAAAAGGAAATAGCCAACTGTTAATCACATGGAAATGTTTCTTCTAAGCCATACTTTAATTTTAGAAACTTAAAATCCTACTACATATCCAATTTGACATCTTACTTTTATCTATTACATTTGCCCCGCAAATGCTGTTAAATCAGCTTGCTTCCAACTTTCTCATTTTACCACAATGATTTATCACTCTTTCTGGCAAAGTCAGAAAAACTGGCTTATAAAGAGATTATTTCTAGTAGAGTAATTGAATAATTTCCTTTAAACTATCCAATTTTGTACTGGTAACTGAGGTCTGCCTAAATTGGAAAGATCCTGAAGTAAAAGACAGGTTCCTATTTTGTTTTTCCTTAATATGAGAGAAATTCCCATTCTCACAGACTTATAGTAGGCTCCATTATAGTACACGTAATCTGGCTCAGGGTATGTAGTTATTGCTTCTTCTTATTGGCTGAATAAAATGATATTTAAATTTGGGGTGACAACCAAGGTTTTACAGAATCAAGTCTCCAGGTACCCTTTACAGTAGAGAGTTTAAAAGCACTTTCAAATTTTACACATCACCTTTTGCTTTGGCTCACTTTATGCATTTATCCTGTGTACCTAATCACTGAAAAAAACAGTTTTGAGTTTTTGAAAGTGAGTTTAACTTAGCTGAAGTTTATGAAAGCTAAGTCTTGGGCTCTCTCCTTCTCTCTTCTACTTCTCTCCTAGGTGATGACTCCCATTATGACTTTAAATAAGATCTCAACACAAAGTAGGTCATCATCATAGCTAACTTTTGAGTGCTTTTTTAGGTACCAATTACTATTTTGGTACATTATATATATTGTCATTTAATCCTCACAAGAATCCTTTGAGTTAGATACTATTATCACCCTCCTTAAAAATTAGTAACTAAGGCATACAAAGAAAAAAAAGTCTTGCCCAAGGTCACACATTGATAGATAAAGCCCCAATTTTAACAAGGTCACCTGGTGTCAAAGCCCCTACTCCTAAAACACTGTATTCGTCTAGTGCTTATGCTCTAAAAATGAAAACATGGTAATTTTTATAATCATTTGGACTTCACTGATTCTGTGAACCCCACAGGGCAGTTTCCCATTTGTGGAGGAATCGGGAATAGTCTGAACACTGAAAAGTCAGTGAGAAAGCAGAATAGTTATCCTATAGCATTTTAAAGGTGGACATATTAAATATCAATTTCTAACCATATCACTTGTTTCATTCACATTCACAAGGAAGAAACTGTGTATTAAAAATAAAAAATACTTCATTGCTTACCTTTGATATCTCTATGAACAATCATATTACTGTGCAAATAATGGACGCCCTCCAGAATCTGACGGGTATATTTCCTAGTCACATTCTCAGTAAGAGCTCCATAAGCTTTTAATTGGTCCTTAATTGAACTCTGAGATTAAAAAAAAAAAAGTGATAGCTTGAAATGAAAACCAATATTAAATCTTTATTTTTTTAAACAATTCTAGATCATGACTGGGAGGTTTTAGCCAGAGAGCACAGAAATTCTCAGTTAAGGACATTGTATGCCCCCTGATTTAACACAAAAGTTCCTGAGGGAGACTGTATATAAAGCTAAAGGAAACTCTTGAAACTTTTTTTTTTGCATGATATCCTTGCTTCTAGAATTATCATGGGTCTATCTCCTATTCCTTTCAACCATGTTTTTTAAATTTTTCCCAGTACTTTAATCTTGGTTTTTTGCCCTGAATATTTTTTATTTTTCGACTTGCTCTTCTATATATGTCCAACTTAAATTTTATATTTTTCTTATTCTTTTTTTTTTCAAAGTGTTTTACTGTACCTTCTAATTTACTTCTCAAGAGAATGAATATGATTAGAAAATTGGAACATGTATGAGATCTTAAAATTTTTCCTTTACTTAGCATTCCAGTTCAAGACATGAGAAGATATATTAGAAAGAAATTTCAAAATTTCTTAATTGCTTTTAAAGGGAAGATGAGGTACCATCTTTGTGAATGCTGAATCAGTCTGAGGTAAAACACAGGTATTTGAATTTTGAAAAAATATCCCTACTTATTCCAATGTGGAATCCTGATGAATAATCACCACATTTAAGGTAGGGATAAAATGTTTCCTGAGGGACAAAATATTTTCTTTTATACAAGTAATATTCCCAAACAAATCCTGCCTTTCCTTCAATTTTGGTAAATTGCATGCTTTGGTAAAACTGTTGATTCTTGCATTTTATAGGTTTTACCTTTGCTGTTTCCACTGTGCATGAGCAATTCTCGAAGGGCTATAAGATACAGTTCTGCTGATGAAGACTTGCAAACACATGTGGAAAGCCTTAGGCAATTAGAGAACCCAGCAAAGCACCGTCCTATAGTTCAATGTGGTTTGTTTATTGTCTACTTATTGTGTCTGTAATAGTAATAATAAACAAAATAACACAGCTAGAACTGAGCTTTCCAAACAAGAAGCCCCCAAATACTTGTACACAGCCAATGAATGATGAAATTAAGGACCCTCTGGATCTCAGGCCTCTGGGCCAGTGGCCTATGGCTACTAACTAGCTCCACTGGTATAGTCTGCTTATCCTAACTCTGTACCATATAAAATATTATCTTTTTCGATGTGAACAACTGGAATAGATAGGGATACATTGTGCCACTAAAAATTGTGTGTGTGTGTGTGTGTGTGTGTCTGTAACATTAACAGAGAAATCAACTGTTAGTGCTACTACTAAAAATAAAATCTTTGGTTCTAGTCTGAAAATTTCCTAATAAAGTAAGGAACGGAATGCTATGTTTGGAAAAACTGTAGAATGGAATAATATTGGCAAAACCTGAAGCTAGGGTATAAAAGGGTCTGATATATAAAATTTAATGAGGAAAATTAAACAGCATCATTCACAAAATGGTGATTCAGAAAGTCTAGGAACATATATGCCTACCCCATATATGCCATGGGCTTGCCATATTTATAATTTACTTAAGACGGTCAATGAACTATTACAGTTTAATAACATGCTTTTCAGATTCAAGGAATAACTTGGGCTTTAAAGGAGATAGCTGTCTTTAAAAAGTCAAGGGTAGCTAAATAAGAAACATGACCTAATAACTTAAATATATAAAGATTACCCATCTCCACCACTTGTGATATAAAACACTTCTAGCCAATTAAACTTTTAAAGACTTATTTATGCATACAAGAACTGGGGTATAGGCCAGAGGTGTGGGGGTGAGAGGATTCACCAGAGACAGAGTGGGGAAGAGAACAGGCAGATCCACTGAAATAACTGCTGAGGGGAGCAGCGATTGAGACAGAAGAGGTCTGCTGTGCCATGTGGGTTGTTCCCTGACAGACCAGGGATTGAACTTGTGCCACAGAGGCTGCAGATAGCTTCACAGAGCTGTGCTTAACTCCCCTTGCACCACCAGGGAGGCCCCAATTAAACATTTTGACTAGTTTTACCTTCAACCTTACAGTCACCCTTATGCATAACTATTTCCTATTTTAAATTTAAATACTTATTGCATGAAGAGTAATGGAAATCTGAATTTAAAAAAATCAATCCCAATCCCAATATGACACATCTTCATTTTTCTAAGTTTCTTCTGTCTTTATTTAAATAAATTATTTTTTAAACATCATAATCATTATTAAAAATAGTTCATATTATTTTTCTCTCTCTTTTATAGGTATTTCCTCCAACTGTGCTATATGGCTTTCATAATTTTAATTTTTAACATACATTCTCTTAAGAGAATGCCAGTACTTCCACTGTGGGCACTTTCCATTTTTTTTCTCATCACAGATAATAGTAGCAAATATACACAGCTTTTTTCTTCTTTTGAATTACTTCTGTAGAATGAATTTCTATGAAATTACCAAGTCAAAAGGCTTTTATGGTTTTTCGTATATTCCACTAACATTTTTCCCAGAGGTGGTTTTTTTAAAAACTAATTTACATTGCCAAAAGATTCCTTGACTAAAAAAGTGGCAAAGAGAAGTAACAATGGTGTCACTGTAATCAATTAAATATTCAAAATGCTACAGAAAAAACATGAGGTTTTACTGTTGCTCTTCTGAGACTGAGGATGGTTCAGATCACTACTACAGGATACTGATCCACAGTTTTATTGATCCATGTGCTTAAAGTAAAACTGTGCATATTCTATATATAATTCTAATAAGCTACTCCTTTAAAGATTCAAAAATCCAATCCTTTTTCTAATGTAGAAATGATTAAAAATGATTAAATACAACACCATTCTGAAAACCATTAGTATTAGAATATACTCTACAAATGCTAAAGATAATACAGAAGGAATAACAGAGTTTGCAAATCACATTTTGCAACTCCTAAGGAAATTACTGACTCAGGCAATTACTATCAATCTGTATCAAAATCATTAGCTGGGTGGTTGAAAAGAAACTGGATATTCATATTTGTGTGCCACTGCTATAACTGAGATTATCTTCTAGTCTTCAGGAAAAAAAAAAACAATGGAGGAATCAGGATGATGATGACCCTAATCTAACAGTCAATCTTAGCATCATTAATAGTGGAACAAGAAACTACATGTCCTGATGGGAAGCAACAAGAAGCACATAGCATCATCTATAGTGCATGCTAAAACAAAAAATACTAAATTTGATTCTGACTTTTAGATTTATCTAAATTGGGGTTTATAGTAAATAAGAGGATAAAAGAGCAAATTAAACAACACCATGAGCACTCAATTAGAGAAATTTCTAAGGCAAGATTGACAACAGAATAACTAGGTCAGTCTCTTTGCCACATTCTATGTCATGTAAAAATTAACAGTTCTAGATTAAAAGAGGAATAAAGAGATGTAATAGTAAAATGTATCGTGTGGTCCTAGACTGGATCACTGTTTGCATAACCACTTATTACAGATACTTCTGGGCTATTGCAAGAAACCTACCTATGAACTGTTATAATATATGTACCTATTTTAGGAGAGTTCAGCATTTTTAAAAAATGAGTCTGAAAACACAAAAATATAAGAAGATAAAACATAAAATTCTATTACCAAGTCTAAATTAAATCTATTCCAGAATGTCCTTATCTAGGGTTAACATTTTATAATCAAAGTTTTACTGTTCTTCAAAGAATGTTACTAACTTACCCCTGGCATATATTCCATAAATATGGAAAGTGTTTTTTCCTGGGGATCTCTCAAACAGCCATAATACTGAACAATTCGCTCATGCAGCAAGTTTTTCAACAACTGAATTTCACACTCAAGTGCATTTACTTCCTGAAAGACAGAACTCATTGTTACGTCTTTACAGTATTGCTAGTAAAAGCAAAAACTTCTAACTTCATTGACCAACTTGGTGATTTCATTTTGAAATCTTTCTGAATAAACATTTTAAAATTTCTAAACAACAACTTTTATAATAGTCCTGGATGGTATGTCAAACACTAAATCAGAGGACTGTAACAGTACTGAAAGAAAAATATCCATAGTACAAAGTAAATGAACATAACTAGTTACTTTTTTTTGGCCAATAACTTATGTTAAGGGAAAACAAAATATCCTATTGTGTGTTATATTTTATTTTAGTAAAAATGCTTATCATGTGACAAAGTAGCTTGTGCAGTGATTCTTACCTTGCTGGTCTCAGGGCTATCAGGGTCAAACTGAACTTGCTTAACAGCCAATTCTCTTCCTGTATCAACATCATAACAGAGGTAGACCCTGCCAAATGCTCCCTGGCCAAGCAGTTTGCCCAGTCTCCAGTTGGTGGGAGCACGAGGTGCTAAAAAAAGGAATATTTTCTTAAAATGGAATATTCAGATGTCACACAAAGGATGAAGGACTAAATGAGTACACTGCATTAATGATATCCCTAATGGAATATTCTTGGATAAAAGAGAAAGTCATCATCATCCAAATACATAACCATTGTCTTTCAAAATTTTTTTCCCTCAGTCATTTTTCTAAGAATTCTAAACCCACATATGGCTCATATCCCCATAAATCATTTTTTTAGTTAAGACTATTATTTTTTCTGATTACAAATATAATAGCATCTTTCACACAATCTAAGATACCACTGTTTTTAAGATGCACTGTTTTCTAATCTTTTGCAGCAATATTTGTAATAATTAGTTTCTCATCTTCCGCTATGATGCTGAGAGCTGGAAAGAATATCACTTTCATTCTGACAAGAGAAAATCTTGAAAGCAGCCACAAGTTAAAGGGCATACAGAGGAACAAAGATAAGACACAGCAGACTTCTGTTCAGAAAGTATATAAACCAGGGAGCAAACGAGAAATAATTTTAAAGTGCTGAAAGAATAAAAAAAATGCCCAGAATTCTATATCCAGAAAATGTATCTTTCAAGAATAAATGAGAAATATACACCTTTTTCAAATAAACAAAAAAAGTGGAATGCAAGAATCAAGAAAGATTCTTGCAATTCTTCAGGTAGAAGGAATTTGATAGTTCACAATCTTGGATATACATAAACAAAGATCTACAGAAACAGATAAATAGGCATAAATAAACTCTTGTTTTTAAACACTTTAAAAGACAGCTATATAAAGCAAAAATTAGCAGCAATGTAGTATGTGGAATGAATGAATGAGGAAATAAATGAATAGTAACAATTTTTATAATAAAATCTGAGGACAGTATTATCTAAGGTAGTTAGGAATAATACCAAGCACTAATAACACTCCAATCTCCTTTACAAACACCACCTTTATTTTTTTGGAGAAGTTGGTCTTATCTGTAGGACAGGCTTGATACTTACTCCTTTCAATATTACAAAGTTCTGCTATACATCTCACTGTGCCAATTTCCATTACTTACAGCGGCTGGGAGGACTGATGTCCATTACAGTCAAAGTAGGATTGTCTATGTCACTTCCCCTTCTTCTGATTCGACTATCATCATACTCTGGGGTAAAGATACTGCTTCCACTACTAGTGCTTAAGGAGTGATCAGTAGGACTGAAACTCACAGGAGACCGAAAGCTGGTCCCCTGGGTTCTTCTAGCTCTTGGAAAAGTTTTACGACCTAAAAAAAATGCAAACCGAATTATCTTGTATCTTTTATAACACGTTGCAATTGAAAGTATTTACAATTTGTAACACAAGGAACAGAAATTTGTCCGGTGACTAGACTAAGAAACTAAAATTACAATGACTATTTGATTTTTAAGTTTTAACATTAAATCATACAAAACTACAAAGAAAAAGAAAAGCAGATATGAAGGGGGAGGGGGGAAGAAACAGGATCTGAGTACAAATTCAAATAAGCTCTTATATGAACACATATATACACACACACACAATCATAGAATAAAACTCCCTTACGTTTGGATAAAAAAGAAAAAATATTTTATTCTCATTTCCAATAATGATTTAAAATACAAAAAAAAGTTAGAGGATTTATTGACAATAATATTTTTTCCTTAAATGGATGATGCAAGTACAAATGTCATCATCAAGAAATAAAGTTTGAATTCATATTTTAAATATTAAGGTAGATGGCACAAAGCTAAGATGTTATCTGTTAGTTATGATCCAATTTTCTTTAAAAAACTTTAAGCAGAAAACTGTAATTCAGGAACAAATATACTTCTAATGGTATCAATATGAATTTTTTTTTTTTTAAATACAAGAAGGTCAACAGATAAGTGTTTATCTCTTTTTTTTTCTTTAATATTTATTTATTTATTTATACAAGCACTGGGTACAGTCAGAAGCGCGGGAGGGTGAGAGAATTCACCAGAGCCAGAGCGGGGAGCAGAGCAGGCAGAAGGACCAAAGTACACTGCTGAGGGGGGCAGCGGGCGGCAGGAGAGGTCTGCGCACCATGTGGGACCCTCCTCCGGTGGCCGGGGAGCAGCCGGGGATCGAACTGGCGCTGCAGAGGCTGCGGGCAGCTTCGGAACCCAGCGCTCAACCGCTGCGCCACCGGGGAGGCCCTCAATATGAATTTTTTAAAATTCATTTTTATTTTGATTATTTTGAGATTATTAACAAACTGTTATGTTCTAATTGCCAGATACATACCATCATTATAGTCTTGATGGTGATATGAAACATGGTATCTTCTTGGATACGTTCCTCCTTTACCAAATTTCTCAAAGATGGGGTTATCATAGTCTATTTAAGAAATTAAATGTTACTAAAAAGTCAGCATTTCTAATGATGAAAAACACATTTACAAATTTATTTTCTCCCCACTACCATCTGTTACATCCCCTTGTCCCTTTCCCTCAGAGCCTCCCCAGTTTATTAATTTTCACTGGTAAGTATTGGGTTGTTGGAAAGTCATGACACACTTTTGCTTGTAAAATATAAAAAAATACATCATGATTTTTCTTTCTTTTTTTTAAAAAAAAAGATTTATTTATTTATTTATACAAGCACTGGGTACAGTCAGAAGCGCAGGAGGGTGAGAGAATTCACCAGAGCCAGAGTGGGGAGCAGAACAGGCAGAACGACAAAATACACTGCTGAGGGGAGCAGCAGGCAGCAGGAGAGGCCTGTTGCGCCATGTGGGACCCTCACCGGTGGCCAGGGATCGAACCGGCGCTGCAGAGGATGCGGGCAGCTTCGCAGCCCAGCGCTCAACCACTGCGCCACCAGGGGAGGCCCTACATCATGATTTTTCTAACAACTCAATATTTTACTTTGTCCCATAGTGTTCTGTAAATGTCCAATATTTGCTTTTATCATTTTGACTTGCTTTACTACATATAATCACTTCAAACTCCCTCCATTTTAGTGTAAATAGTAGCATTTCATCTTTCCCAATGGCTGTATAGTTTTCCAGTGTGTATATACCACATCTTCATGATCTAATTGCCCACTGATGGGTACTTAGGTTGCTTCCATGTTACAGCTATTGTAAATAGTGCTGCAATAAACACTGTAGAGCATACAGTTTTTTCCATTAATGATTTTATGTTATGTGGATAGATGCCCGAGAGTGGGAACAGATTTTAGATTTCCTTTCTCTCCCAATCAAAACAGTAGTCAGTGACAAACATTTAAACATTTAGAATGTGCATACTCTAACCTGAAAATTCCTGATGATTATCTGGATAGCTCTGTGCCCTAGGCATTCGTGATTTTGGATAGCTCTCTCTAAAAGTAGAAAAAGGCACATTAATTAATATAAAGTATGTAAATAACACATGAAAAAATATTTATACATTTTAAAGATTTTTTTAGATGTAGAAATATCTATGTATGTATCTACCTGCCTACCACCCTATAAAGGAATTCACTTTGAAATGTTAATGTAATTAAAAACAGAGAACGTTCTTTTTAAGTACTTAGATGCTACTTGCAGGCAAAAATCCTGGCTTTTAAAATTAATTCATTTTCTTTGTTACTAAAGTTCTTTTATTCATTTGTTCTTATGGCTATAGTGATGACTTCACAGATGGAGAAAAAAAATGAATGGATAAGAGAATAATTGTTTAATACATAGTTACTTCATTTCTTGAATGTTTTTGCAGGATAATTATAAATGTATATAATTTCATTGATGCACTGAACATGTCAGTTTCTTTTTTCTTTTTAAGATTTATTTGTTTATGCATACAAGAACTGGGGTACAAGGCCAGAGGTACGGGGGGAAGAGGGGAATGTGCGTGAGCGGATTCACCAGAGACAGAGCAGGGAACAGAACAGGCAGATTGACCGAAGGACACTGCTGAGAGGAGCAGCAGGCAAGACAGAAAAGGTCTGCTGCGCCATGTGGGTAGCTTCCTGGCCGGCTGGGGATCGAACTTGTGCTGCAGAGGCTGCGGATAGTTTCACAGTGATGTGTTTAACCCCCTGTGCCACCAGGGAGGCCCTGAACATGTCAGTTTCTATACCACTAGACCAACAGTTATTTCTGGCTATTGAGTGCCTGATGATACTGTCTTGATTTTCCTTTGAGGCTCAACCATATGTAGATTTTCCTCCTACCAATAGGGGGAGTACAGGTGATGATCACTGATGTCATTGCAATTATTTTTTTTAATAACATGTAAAATAAACAAGTAAATAAAATTAATCCAAAGAGTACAGTGGTTAAGTGATATATTTTGGAATCACAGAGGTTGGAAACATCTGTACTTCAATGCTAGTCCTGCCACTTAACTAGCAATGCAACCTCAGCAAATCATTTTTATTAAGACATTTCCACATATATATAAAAAGAAGATAATAATTTCTAAGTCACTAAAAGAAAGTGCATGTGAGTGAGTGTGTGTATACATATATAGATATATGGAAATAGCTCAGGATATGTCTTTCAAATATAATGTACTCAATATATAGCTTTCTCATTACTCTCAGTATTTCCCTGACTTTCTTATGTATTAAATTTCTATCTTGAGATAGACATGGGCAGAGAATGGCTTCATGTATACAGATAACAAAAAATTAAGTATACTATAGAGACAATTAACTGTATTTTCAGAATTTGCTTTTATAAATCAATCCCAGAGGAGACAGTGACAGATGAACATTGTCCTACTGAGACCAGAAGAGGAAGGAAGCACTTATGACAAAATATTCACAGCTGCAATTTGTCCCCACTTATATTCCTAAACAACCACTTCATAGAACAAAATCTTTAAATTTTAAATAACAAACACAAGAATGTAAGCTACTTGGAAGTCGGTGCCAAAATGAATGTAATTCTCAACAGATGAAACAATTCAAGAAACATATTAATGCAAAATCTGGTAACAATTTCACCAACAGTTTTAAAAATAAATGTACATAAATTAAGTTTGCATTTATCTTCAAACACACAATTTTGATAAGCAATTCCTGCTTATATTTTTATGTTATATGAAAAGAATATAATCAGCTATCCCACATGAAGTGAAGCATTTGTCCAAACTGTAAAAACAAACAAAAATCTCATAGACAAGTATCCATTACATTCCTCTGAATAAAACATTAAAAAAGGTGATAATTCACATGATATATTTATCCACATATATTAAAACAAAACCAGAATCAACATTACCCATCCAAAGGACTATCAAGTGATGGACAACTTCCTGAGCCAGAATTTTCTGGGCTGCTTAAAGATAACGGGTCCAGCATCTAGAAAAACAAAGATTTCCATTATGTTTCTATGTGACATACCAAAAGTTACTGTTTTTTAAAATAACAGCTTTGTTGAGATATATTTCATATGTAACATAAAATTCATCAATCTAAAGCATACAGTTAAATGATTTTCAGTACACTGAGTTATTCAACCCTCACTACAAACTCAGAACACTTTTAGTACCCCAAAAAAGAAACCCATTATCAATAGCAGTCACTCTCAATATTACTTATTTTTAAATTTATTTGTCCTTGCAGGTAGACTACACTGGCCCTGATAACATCCCTTTACATAAAGTAAAAAAAAAAACATACAACTTCAAAATTTCCTAAGAGAAAAATTATTTTGCTATCGATTGTCAAGTAATTAAAATTTAAAATATTTTACATGATTTTCCTTACTGAAAACTAAAGAACTGAGACTAAAGGCACTATGACTGCAGTGTTATCAGAAAATGTAACCTCCCGCAATAATACAAGCAGCCAGTGTAATGTTAAGGAAACAGCAATTCCCTAACACTTCAATACTATAAAACTTTTAAAAATGCTTAAATGTTTTAGAAAGTTGACAAACCTCAGTTTCACAAAGTTAATTATCTCAAGTTACACTCTTATCTTTTAAACGTTAATGTGAAAACCCTAATATTAATCCTAGGATTACAAACTGCATTTATCCATTTACAAATGAGCAATGTAAGAAAATGTCTTACTACAACTTTCATTATGCATGTACGCACACACACATTTTCTTACATCTTTTACTATTCTGTTCACTCAAGAAGCACAACATGGGGTTAGGAAAGAGATAAACAGTATCAAGTATCAACAGCCTTGATACTTGCCAAACAACACTGACCCGATAACAGCCCTTGACAAAAAGTAAAAAACCATATTCAATTTTTGCTTGCTTACTTGGTCCATGCTCTCTGGAATGAACTCTCCTTCACTATTGATACTGGTGAATGACCCATTCCGGGCAACCTGGTGTAATTCATCTGGAATGTATCCGGGTGGAGGGGAGCTTCTATCCCTAGTAATGGGACCTCAAGAGAAAAAAATATACCATTTTATAAATATAAATATCAGCAGGGAACTATATGTTTTAATTAACTATACATTCAAATTAACTGTACAAAATTACTGGAACTACATGTAATGTCAGACCTCAGTTTAAAACCCAGTTCTAATTATTTACCAGTTGTGTATCTTTGAAAAAGTTACACAATCTCCATAAAGCTGTTTCCTCATCTGCAAATATGGGACTAAATCCCACATTTGCAAGGACACTGTGATGGTCAAATTATTCATAATGAACACAGGCTACGCACATTAGTCATTTAACTCATATTACAGCTTAATGAATTTGGAATCCTGGATTCTATTCTTGGGTATTTAAAATTAGGTTTCTTTCAAGCTATACTCCTGGAATTTAAATTTCTTCATAGTTTAGAAAATGAGGGACCCTAGTATGTAGTACATCTAATTAATCACATCATTTCTTATGAGACTATAACTGCTATGTTTAGTAACAGTTTCTCCCCATTCCTCCTAATTCTTTAAAGTAAAAAATGGGGAAGTTATGTGGGCATTTAAATTCTTGTCAAATTTAAAGCAAAAAAGAAAAGTTTTGCTTCATGTAAAGGAATTCTTGTATTTATATGCCAGCATTTGCTGGTGATGAAATAGGGAGAAAGAGAACAAAATGATACCAAGAGATGTGTATAACAGAGATAATTTCCTATGCTTGACTCTTTGTCCCTAATATTATAATTCCTTCCCTATGCACTGTTTTACTCTTTACTTAAAGGAGATAAGGAGTAAAAAGGGTTATAAAAAATTTCTTCATCTCCTTACTTTATAAGCCAGTTTTCATGCATTCTTGGTCAAGACTGCCATACCTGCAAATATTTTTATCCCAAAAGAAGTTTTTCCTCTAGCATTTAATTATTTTTATGAAAATAATTAAGGGAAAAATATAATGGTAATGTATACCAAAGCCATTCCAAGTATAAAGAGGTGCCAATAAAAGACCAGTAATTTTTTACATTATAATATCCAGTCTCTTTTTATGCTAGCACTGAAGTCAAACAACAATACTTAGAACTAGAATAAAAGTGAGATATTCAATAATTTTAATTTTTTTTAAAGATTAATTTATTTATTTATACAAGCACTGGGTACAGTCACAAGCACGGAAGAGTGAGAGAACTTACCAAAGCCAGAGCAGGGAGCAGAACAGACAGACAGACGAAATACACTGCTGAGGGGAGCAGCAGGTGAGGCAGGAGAGGTCTGCGCACCATGTGGGACCCTCGCTGGCTGGCCGGCCGGGGATAGAACCGGCGCTGCAGAGGCTGCAGGCAGCTTCGCAGCCGAGTGCTCAACTGCTGAGCCACCGGGGAGGCCCTCAATAGTTTCAATTTTTAAAGCACCAATTTAATATATTTAAAGCTTGTTCTGTCCAATGCTATAAAAGTGAATTGGCAATCTATTACTTTAAAATTATAGGTACTACAAGGTGATAAGGAAATAAAAAAGAAATGTATGATTAAAAAGACATGCTTTCTACTTTGAAAAGGAAAATGTAGTTTATAAGTGTTGTCCTAATTTATTGCTCTAACAATTCCATGACTTAAATATGAGGACAAAGTTGCTAGTCTTGGTAACGTTACCGAGCTAGAATTTGAATCCAGGTATTCCTAATGTTATTTCACCCAAATTTTAAATGATATCAAAATGTATACAAATGAAAATATACATCAAAATGTCATCTTTGCTGCTCACATTTCCAGCATTTCTGAAATCGAAAGCAGGACTTACGTAAGACAGACATTTACAAGTAAGCAGTCATAAAACAGCTTCTTCTGGAGACCAAAAGAAGATAAATAACAAATCTTTTTTGGTGGTTCACATGCCAACTTAATCTTTTGTTTAAGGAATGTTAATGCATTCCTCTTCTGTTGCCAGCCATCTTAGATTCTCAACCACATCTCTCATTTTGTCCCATTCCCCTGCTTCACCTCTATTCATTCTTACCTATTCTTCCACTTTTCCCCTTCCTTTGCACGTTTTCATGATATTTTCACTGACCATGTCCACTATCTTATCTGTTAAGAACATTTATACCAGGGCCTCCCTGGTAGCACAGGGGTTAAAGATAGCTCTATCAAGGAATCGGCAGCCACTGCAACACGAGTTCGATCCCGGAATGGCCAGGGAGCTAACCCATATGGTGCCTCCTGTCTTGCCAGCTATTCCCCTCAGCAGTGTATTTCTGTACATCTGCCTGTTCTGCTCCCCACTCTGTATGGTGAATTCGCTCACCCCCTGCACCTCTGGCTTACACCCCAGTTCTTGTATGCATAAATAAATAAATCTTTTTTTAAAGATTTATTTATTCATTCATTCATTCACTTATTTATTTATTTATTTATTTATTTATTTATTTAAACAAGAACCGGGGTACAGGCCAGATGCGCGGGAGGGTGAGAGGATTCACCAGAGATAGAGTGGGGAACAGAACAGGCAAACTGACGAAATACACTGCTGAGGGGAGCAGCGGGCATGGCAGGAGAGGTCTGCCGTGCCTGGTGGCACAGGCGGTTGAGTGCTGTGCTGTGAAGCTATCCGCAGCCTCCGCAGCGCCAGTTCGATCCCAGCTGGCGAGAATCCCACATGGCGTGGCAGACCTCTCCTGTCTCGCCCGCTGCTCCCCTCAGCAGTTTATTTCCTCAGTCTGCCTGTTCTGTACCCTGCTCTGTCTCTGGTGAATCCTCTCACCCTCCCGTGCATCTGGCCTGTACCCCGGTTGTTGTATAAATAAATAAATCTTAAAAAAAAAAAAAAATTTTTTCCAGTGGTTTTTGAACTACATAATACAATGTAGGTGATCAAGGTTTTATACAAATTGAAGGTACACAGAAACTGGATAGCTGAGAGCACCTCTGTCCAATCCATGCTTCTCTATTAGGCGAGGAAACCCAGCACACAAGATCCATTTTCCTTTATATCATAAGCTTAATTACATCATAATTCTTAGTGACAAAAACTAGCTACTAATAAAGTTATAACAGCATAATAAATAATAAAGCAACTATTTTTATAACATTACTGGTAAAAACTAAAACTTAAGAAAAAGACATATGAACTTACTCCATCTGTTAATCTTAACATATTACAATTAGACCTTTTAATTTTCCCCTTCAGTTTATTTGTACAATTAAAACCTCTTTGAGGCTGTGTTTGAGTTTGTTAAACAGTAAAATACCCTGGTTATATAAAGAAAGAAATTTTGAAGTTGAGATTACAAATTCTGTAACAACTGAATAACTTTCCAAGGGATCGCAGATACTAGAGCACAGTTAACTGAGATCAAGTACAAAGACAGGCCACTATATATCAGGGTTATAGTTGGGTGTTATCCTACATTAAAGGGTGGAGAAGAAACTGAAAAACCATCCATAATATGATTCAGACACTAGTTTTCTTACCTATTATAGAAAGCCGTTTTTTCCTCTCTGCTCCAAATACTGTGTTATCCAAATCTTCCAGTGATGACAATGGTTCTAAATTACTAGCCTGCAAAGGGAAAAAGATGATTAATGATATTCTTTCCCCTCACGTCTTTAAACGGAATCCTCCCCCTACCAAATACAACCTAGATAGTCTATATTGTTTGTAGGTCTAATTTACTCTTTGAAACTTTAATTCTAAAGTAATTCTTCCTAAGTTTTTAGTTTCTAATAGTTTTATATGTACATTATACTTATTTTGGCTATATAGTTTTGAGAAAATTAAAATATAGCTATTACAATGTATAAGTTTAAATTTAATCATATTGAAAATACATAAATGATTCTAGAACATAACTGTTTTATATACTGACTTACAGGTGTAAGTCCTATAATCCTTACTGAAAAATACCTGACTCATACCTGTGTACTTCCATTTATTACAAGTAATATCTTGAGACTTTTCATATGAACACTACGATCCAGTAGTTCCACAGCTTTGTCCAAGTCGTCTTGGGTTGTTAATGGAATTACCAACTAGACAAAAAAGGAACACAGGGAGTCATGCAACCATCTCACCAGGTCAACTCCTTCCAAGAGATTATTTATATATATATAAAATCTCTATTATATATGCAGAATTATAAAACTCAAGATACCACTCTTTGATTTATTAATATAATGAAATTCTGAATCAATAAATGTTATCTATTGTTTTGTTTTCCCCACCCTACCACCACTAAGATTATAGAACCAATATGGACAATATTTTTTGCTTTAATAATCATTAAATTCCTCTAGAAAACACAAAGATTAAAATTAATTTTCTAGGGCTTCCCCGGTGGCACAGTGGGTTGAGCGCCGCACTGTGAAGCTGTCTGCAGCCTCTGGAGTGTGGGTTCAATCCCCACAACCGGCAAGAATCCCACATGGCAAGCAGACCTCTCCTGTTGCGCCCGCTGCTCCCCCGAGCAGGGTATTTCAGTCGTCTGCCTGTTCTGCTCCCTGCACTGTCTCTGGTGAATCCTCTCACGCTCCCACACCTCTGGCCTATACCCCAGCTCTTGTATAGAAATAAACGAATCTTTAAAAAAAATTAATTTTCTAGGATATCGCTATAATATTGCTAAACTTAAGTTACAGTATCTTTACTCCAAAACAGCATGAAATGAGTACACACAATAACTGTATGAAATAAAGGTATATTCTCGCATCTGCATTGATACAACTTTCAGTTTTTATTCACTAGTAACCACAGATTTACATTCTTACCAAGTGTGCTAATCAACATCTAAGCACAATGAGCTTAAGTGACAGCTGCCATGGGAGGGCGCATGCACTCGCAATCTACATTCCACTGGGGGCTCCTATCTATGACCCTGTGACTTGACCATTACATTCTAAAACAAATAAGCTAAATGAGTCATTCATCTCAGAGTAAACCTGAATGTGGAAATCTGCTTTTATTAATCCTCTCATGGATCAGACATTAAAGAGGACAAAAGCACCTGAGAAAAGAGAAAGGATAACTCACACAATTGAAGTAAATTAAAACCTCTTTCCTTTTTTTTTTAAAGAAAAATGTAGCTTAAAATGACTGTCAATAACCTTCCAAGGATATTCCATTTCATTAAAAAATGGATGGAATAAAAACAGAAGAACATATTCCACCCTTGTTAGTCTGCTCTTAATTAATAAAGCACATTATCTGATAAAGTCATACAAATGCAAAATGTCTACTTAGTTCTGCGTCCTCGGATATATAAATTCCTATAGAACAAGAACACCTCACACCAGCAATTAATACAAAGCATATGGCAAAGAGCAAACACTAGGAAAATACTGTTGAACAAGTAGCATAGGGGAAAGCTACCTACATATCCAAACTCACTAGATGACATAGTATGCATTCATTCTCTGCAGATTTCTTTATGAAAAAACTTCCTTATTTTAAGAAAGGCTACCAGACACAAACAAAAAACAAGACTAATGTGAATTTCATCATACAATCCGCTTACATTTATTTCCTCTGTACTTGAAAATACAGTCCCAAATTGTAGCTAATTTTTTTGTATCTACGACCACAAATTATCTAATAACCAGGACATTTTTTTTCTGTGAGAAATCTCTTCTAATAAAAAGAAGGAACATTAACTAGAATAACCTGATTTACTTAATTAAATCCTTTTGATTTCCTATCAAGAACATCTTTTTCCTGGAGCCTCCCTGGTGGCGCAGCATTTGAGGGCTGGGTTGCGAAGCTGCCTGCAGCCTCTGCAGCACCGGTTCGATCCCCGGCTGCTCCCCGGCCACCGGAGGAGGGTCCCACATGGTGCACAGACCTCTCCTGCCGCCCGCTGCTCCCCTCAGCAGTGTACTTCGGTCCTTCTGTCTGCTCTGCTCCCCGCTCTGGCTCTGGTGAATTCTCTCACCCTCCCGCACTTCCGACTGTACCCAGTGCTTGTATAAATAAATAAATAAATCTTAAAAAAAAGAACATCTTTTTCTTATCATCAACATTATTTATTATTACACATTAAGCACTAGTAAATATTGTAAAGCAATGACAAGGGTTGTTCTGCCAATTTTTTCATTTGAGGGGCTTACCTGAGTATTTAATTTTACTTACACATTTATTTATAATTGGATTGTTTACTTCACCAAGATTTTGTTGCTTTTGGGGGGAAAACACTACTTTAAATCACAGTAACAAACAATATAGGGCCTCCCTGGTGGCACAAGGGGTTAAGTCTCAGCACTATGAAGCTATCACCAGCCACTGCAACACACGAGTTTGATCCCAGGCCAGGGAGCTACCCACATGGTGCAGCAGACCTCTCCTGTCTTGCCTACTTCCCCCCCCCCCCCCAGCAGTGTATTTCAGTGAATCCATCTGTCCTGCTCCTCACTCTGTCTCTGATAAATCCTTCCCCCCACCCCACCCCACCCCCACCTCTGGACTATATCCCAGTTCTGTGTACATAAATAAAATAAATCTAAAAAAGAAAATAATGTATATGATTCTGCTTATCTCCAGTTTGCTCCTGTGAATTTTAAACATTCTAGAGAAGTGCCTGGAGCAGCAGCCAGGGCTGTGGTTCTAATGTGATGCCATGCATGTTCTAGGGTCACCTATTACAGATGTAACATGAGGGTTAAGAGCCAAGAACAAGTCCCTGACTGTCTAAATTATACTAAATAAATCACAGAATATTTTCCTGCTTGGTGAATTTATTTCAGATTTCATTAAATCTATTTCCCTCTCACTTATTATGGGTGAATCAGTTGTATGTAACTATAAATCCTTTCTAGAAAGGAAGCCAAAAACCAAGTTCCCAAACCATCAATTAGAACCTAAACTTAAAAAGAGATTTTCTTGACTTTCCACAGTGAAAAACTATAATAGTTTCTAAAAAGGTTTTCCTCTCGTCCATGTAAAACTGGGAAAGACCTTAGAAACCCCGCTTAACTTACACCCACATCCCACATCTATGCCCCCATGACAACACGCACACCCCTGACACTTTATTGGATGAAGAAAAGATCAACTGGCAAATCCAACCAATCCCAGCTTAAATTTCCTGGTTGTTTTGATTCTGGAAAACTAGAAATTTATGGAATGGTTCTTTCAGAACAGAGGAATTTACATTACACTAGATAAATAATATTTATAGAACCACAATAATAACCAGCACAAGTTTTTTTGTTTTTCCACAGGTCCACCAAACTAACATCCCTTCTAATTTTTTTCCCTCATACCCCCAATATCTTAAAGCATGGACTGGGTTGTCATGATACGAATCAGGACATGGTTAACTCACAGAATCACAGATTCTCAAAGAATCTCTGAGTTGCAAGAAATTTTAAACAATGTAATCTTACCCTAATGCCTCCTCTACCACATTCCTGCCAAAAAAGGCCACCCAGATATGACAGACCACTCCCAGAAATCCTTCAGAAAGTCTAAGAAAAAGAAACTGAAAATTTCTTATTTTAGAAAACAGGAGAAAGTTCCTAAAACTACAGATCAGTTAATGTAATGCCAATCCTCAAGAAAACTCTAGATAAAATTATTAAACAAATTGGCAGAACTCAAACCGCAATTCTGGGTGTTAGAACAGATACAACATAACAAATTATGAAAAACTAACCTCATTTCTTTCGGTAGACCTACTAGATTTTTGATAGACCTATCAAGACAATACTGTAGTCTCAATGTATCTTGGCATTTAAAAGTTTTTTATGATACAACTTCAAACAAAAATATTTAAGATATGCCTGGGTTTCCCTAGACTCATCATGAGATAAAGATTCAAGTTCGAGTTGGTTCATACAGAAAAGATACTAGGAAAACACAGGTAGGGGGAAAGGTGGTCCATAAGAATGTATTACCCAGCAAATTACCACTGTCAGTAAGAGGTATCCCATCCTGGAGACTCATTTTGGTCTCCTTCACTCCTACCCCAGTTTATCTCTGAAAAGGCCTCAGTTTCAGGTGCTGGCAGTTGGAAATCAGGCCAGTACAAACAGAAAAAAGTGCCAACATAGGGCATAGAACTGAACAATAAGAGATACTGATGGTTAAGTGAGAACCACAGTTGTATTAAAAAATAAAAGCTGAAGGTGCTGTAACAGTATAGTGCTCATCAGTTTGTTCAGGGATAGTAATTGTTCAGATATGGATTTTCACTTCTCTCACAATATTTTCTGTTTCAGCTGCAAGTTGTTTCTTTAAACAAGCTATATTAGCATATTCTTTTTCTTTAAATTATAATTTACTTTTTTCCAAACATTTTTATTAGTACAATGCTTTATCTATGCAAAGCACTTTCACGTATTTTCTCAAATTTTTACTAAGCTCTCCACCGTCACTGTGTTTCCACTGGTACCTTTCCTATTTCTGAAAAAGAGAACTCTTTTCTATCTTAGGATCTTTGGATTTATTGCTCTCAAGCTGCTCTACCAGAAATATTCTTCCCTCAAATTATTTTCACAGTTGGTTTTTTGTACTTTTTAAGTTTCAGTAATGAAACTTAAACATTATGTCTGGTAATGAAACTTAATGTAATGAAACTTAAACATTATGTCTGGCAAATACAAAAGTATTTTCTAAAGGGAAAAAACCCAACATATTAATGAATTCAATGAATTACCCCTGAAAATTTTAAGATCTCAAGTTCTTGAAACCCCATAGTATCCAAAAGAAACCTCAGATCATGTAATACAATCCAAATTTTACAGGTTCAAAAAGGGTTTCTCCAGAACACCTAGTTCCTCAGTGCCGGAGCAAGTCCTTACTATCTCATATGACTGTCAAATATACATAATAATCTAATTATGCCCTAACCAACAAAAATAATCCTTTAAGTTTTAACTAAACTTTCTGACTACAAAGTTCTACTGTCTCTGTATACAAGTAGAGTATGGGAAGAAAAAACAGTTAATTGACATACTACATAGAGTAAAAATAAATTATAAATAAGTAGCAAACTTCTCTGCCAGATCATAAAGCAGGCCAAGAAGCTGCCTACCCTGATCCCCCTCTTTGTATTTATTGAAGCCAGAGGTATTACAACAGTGCTAGATGTCATGTGTCTGTCTTTGTTCAACCCAGGTATCAGCTGAGACAAAAAGAATAACCCAGAACCTGGAACGCACTGAGTTCCAATGAGCAATACAAGTTCTACTCAGTCAATACAGATGATAGCAAATTGAAGGAAGAAGGTCAGACTTCTAAATGAAGTATTTCACTATAAGCTACTAAAAATGAAGGTCTTCCAGAAGCCATCTATGCAATTTTCCACCTAGCCAGGAAATACTTGCTCTCTAACTGCATATTGGTGCAATGTGTTCGGATTTACACTGATTAGTAAATATTGGAAACTTGAGGGGAAAAAAAACTTCTAAATAATACATACGTTTCCCCTTTTCATAGGTTCTCATTTAATTATTTGCAGATAGCACCTTTTAATATTTCCACAATGGAAAAAAATCAATTTTAATCAGTCAAAATTTACAAATTTACACATAGTTTACTCCTCAAACATATCATATCCTTTATCAAGCCCCAAGTAAAAGTACAGCAGTCCTAAAACCATCTCTTAAATGAACACATTACTTTCCAAAATCAGAGCTACTTAAAGTTAAGCTGTATAGGTTTACCTCGTTATTGGTATAATGTAGATCCATGGACTGTCCAAAAGCAATTTTAGCTTTAGACCTCAGGTCTTCTAATTTAACTGGCCTGGGGAACTGAAGGATTCTATAGAGAGAGATTTTAAGATATTTTATTTTCTTAAGCATAAATACCATAACTTGGACAGTTACTTCTTAGATAGGAAAAACACAAAATTAAGTAAACAAATATGCACTTGAACTCTACAATGGATCATTTTTAATAAAGTATATTCTCAACAAAGCTCAAAAAAATCTGAGCCTCCTTGGTGGCCTAGGGGTTAAGTCTCAGTGCTAGCTGCTGGAACTAACCACTTCCACCTCCACCATTGCACTGAGATCCTGATGGTTAAATTTACATCTCTGCTAAATAACTGACCGCTACCTTTCAAGCTCCCCTCCCTCAATGTTACTAATTAAACCTATATCATATGACTGAGGTCTCTTGAAAATAATCAAAATCAAGAATAAGTCCACATACCTAAATTCTGTATAGTATCTAAAGGAGTGAGGGCCTCTCTCATGGTGCTAGGGGTTAAGTAGCAGCACTATGAAGCTATCTGCAGCCACTGCAGCACGAGTTCAATGCCCAGCCAGGGAGCTACCCACATGGTGCAGCAGACCTCTCCTGTCTATTCTGCTGCTACCCTCAGCAGTGTATGTCAGTCAGTCTGCCTGTTCTGATCCCCACTCTGTCTCTGGTGGATACTTTCACCCTCGCCCCCACACCTCTGGCCTTGTATGCCAGAAGTAGCATATGTAAGGTGGCCTTGTATGTACCCCAGGTCTTGTATGCATAAGTAAATAAATCTTTAATAAAAAAAAAAGGAGTGATACAACTGTGATAAGGAGAAATATACTGAATTTCAATTGAGTATATTAAAAATAAAAGGAAATGGTAACATTTAAAGATTGCATTATGTAATATTATTTCCTAATATTGCAAAGTGAAAGTATTAATCATTTCTAATATCTAGCCTAATTTTGACAGATTCTATCTTAAGTCTAAGTAGATGTTTCACATTACCAAAGACTACTCCATTCTCAATATAAAAGCCATGAACCTTCATTATATCTATAAAGAATCTCTAATGGTTTAAAACTAGGACACCCATTTGGTTATATCAACACACTGCAATGTACTGTTTCCTTCCTTACCGTTTTTCTCCTCTATGTTCAAATTTGACTCGGACATCATTCTGTAAAGAAATAATACATCATCACTTCAGAACTAAGATAAAATTTCTAAATCATTTTTCTCTTGGTTGTCTATTTAAAATAGAGCAGAGTGGGTATGAGGTTTCGTTTGCAGTGTCAACGCCAATCAATTTACAGTGTCTGCCAAAGAGCTGAATTGTTATTTATGTTGCTGAATCTGGGCCCAACTGGAAAGAGTACCGAGATCTATTAGTGAGGGCACTGTGGGTATGAGACATTGCTAACCCTGTTAGAAGGGAGTACAGAAAAATTTATTTACACTTGTCATGTTGGCCATGCCTAACAAATTTTATTTTTAAATATTAAACCAACTCTGATTTGTAAATATACAGAACAGATTGTTTTAAATAAAACAATCTGCCTAATTTTAAGAGCTTTAATGGATGAAGTTTCAGCTTGGGGAACAGCTACCACATTGAAGGAAACTGTCATTTTTGAAAAACACATACCCTTCTGGAAAAATATATAGCGAACAACAAAATGCTACATTTAAAAAAAGGGAAAGCAGGGCCTCCCCTGGTGGCACAGTGGTTGAGCGCTGGGCTGCGAAGCTGCCTGCAGCCTCTGCAGAGCCGGTTCAATCCCCGGCCACTGGTGAGGGCCCCACATGGCGCGCAGACCTCTTCTGCCGCACCCGCTGCTCCCCTCAGCAGTGTATGTCAGTCAGTCTGCCTGTTCTCTTCCCCACTCTGGCTCTGGTGAATTCTCTCACCATCCCCGCACTTCTGACTAAACCCAGTGCTTGTATAAATAAATAAATGAATCTTCAAAAAAATAAAAAATAAAAAAATAAAGAAGGGAAAGCAAAACAGTTTAAACAAATTCTCTGTAAGATCAGAATAGTCAAGGAAAATAATTCATAAAACAACTATATGTTAATGAAATATATTGAAACAAATACCTGTTTTTTGGGAGATAAAGATTTTGTTTTTCTGTTTTCCTGTAATGATAATGCAGGTCGACTGGCCTTATGAAGAACAGCCAAATCTTGCATGATTGAGTTCAAAGCTTGCTGATCATCTAGGTATTTAAAAATAATATATACAAAACTGTAATCTCAGTATGTATTTATCATAACACCAAACATAAGATTTATAATAAAACAGTGTGAAATGTGTTAAATTAAGGCAAAACTACATCTAGAATATTTTCAAATGCTTACACTTCTGCTATTTTTGTGAAATAAAATCTTATTTTTTTAAACTAAAGCAAGTAATATTAAAATTGCACAAGACTCAAGCACTGGCATCATACTAGGTATCCACACATGAGGATCATTCTTCTAATGATGTAACATCTTAGGATATGGGTCAAAACAGACTTATTAGAATAAATCCTTTTCTGTGACTCCTAAACAAAACATCTAAAATCTTAATTAAAACAAGTGGGGGAGGGAACTTTCTTTATATATTATCATTTAGCATTTATATTCAAAATACAGAATTCCTTTTAGACTTTTTTTATTTAAATACATATTTTTTACATCATTGTTCATTTTTGTACAATGTATACTTTCTCCTCTTAGGTAGATTTTTTCTCTTTCATCAGTACTTCAAGTTAGAAACAAAGAAAAGCTTAATCTCTGGATTATGGTCTGCTAATATTTGAAAGTGTTTTCTTGAACTTATTCACCATAAGAATCAGTACAACAAAAATATTTAATAGACTATTTAATGATCTTAGCAAGCACAATTTAAAAGGTAACAAAACAAGGAAAATCTATTCCTTAGGAAAGAGCTCTGGGCCCATAAAACTGAGTGAAAGGATCATGAACTATGAATTTTTAGTCTTTGAAATACAGAGATTTCTTTCTAAGACTAAGCATGGGCTTCCTCATATGCCTTTATATGCTTTCTGGGAAACTTCAAGGAACAACCTAGAGAATTTTCACTACTAAATCAATTCTACTAATGATAATCAACAACTGGTAAACAAAAGAATCAAGAAACCTCACAGCTTACATTTAAAATGTAACCATTCTAGGGGCCTCCAGTTCAACCCACATATGGTGCAGCAGACCTCTCCTGTCTTGCTCACTGCTCCATTTAGCAGTGTATTTCAGTAAATCCACCTGTTCTGCTCCCTGCTCTCTCTGGTGAGCCCTCTAATCCCCTATACCTCTGGCCTACATCCCAGCTCTCCTACGCAAAAAAATAAAATGCAACCATTTTATTGAGCAATAATTTGTTACAGAGTAGTTAATAACTAAAACATGTTTTACCTACTAAGGGGAAACCATTAAAAAGAATGTGGCAATTCAATGGCTTCATCAGTCTCAAAAACACAAACAGCAGACTCCTCTAATGTATTAACTTTTAATAATACTCAATATATTCTGTTTTACTGTGAAACTATTGCATATTAAAACTTAAAATTAATGGTCCAAGTCAGACTATGTTATTTATTGATTAAAAAAAAAAAAATCTTCCCTTAGGAGAAGAATAAGCTGCATATCATCTAAACTGAATCATCTAGGGCCTCCCCGGTGGCACAGCGGTTGAGCGCTGGGTTGCGAAGCTGCCTGCAGCCTCTGCAGCCCAGGTTCGATCCCCGGCTGCTCCCCTCCCGGCCACCGGAGGAGGGTCCCACATGGCGTGCAGACCTCTCCTGCCGCCCGCTGCTCCCCTCAGCAGTGTACTTCGGTTCTTCTGCCTGTTCTGCTCCCTGCTCTGGCTCTGGTGAATTCTCTCACCCTCTCGCACTTCTGACTGTACCCAGTGCTTGTATAAATAAATCTTTAAAAAAATTAAAATACAAAAAATAAACTGAATCATCTAAATTGAAATAAAATTATCTGATGTAAATTTTCTGAAAAAGATTAAGATCCTTAATTCTACATTGATGAGAAGGAAACTAATAATTAAATTTATCTTCTAATTATTTTCATTAAAAAAACCTTAAAACATGAAACTCCACTATTCAGTTCAGGGCAGCTTCCCTGTTCTGGCAATTAAACTTGGAACACTAAAACATGGGCTAAAGTTGAAGACTGGATGAAACTATCACTCTGTGTATTACCTCCCAGATTACAAAAATGAAAAAACAACTTTAAACACTCGAATTTACACATTTTCACATATTCAGTATCACAAAACCAAAGTAAATAAATGCCTGGGAAGGCTTTGGTAAGTCTCTTAACGTATTTACATATACTTATTTCCTTACTTAAAAATAAAGAGTACCATTTTTCATTGCAGATGTAAAAAAACTAAAGTGAATGATTTGAGTAACATTTACCTCCTAGGGAGATAACACAAAGGGAAACTTTTGACTTCCTTCTTTTTCTGGCTTGAAGAAGAATCATAGGATAGATGAAAACCCAGTAGGAAACTTACTTTAAGCAGCTGCCAAGAGGTAAGCTAACAAATCCACAAAACATCAAGCGAAGTGGTGAACATACGTAGTCACACTATAAGCACTGTTACAAAATTCTTAAACTGTTTTACTCTACGAATCCCCATAGCAGTCACAGGCAGATTGGACAGGTTATAAATGTCATAAGGATCATAAGATGACACAATAGGCAGAGACAAACCCCAGAGAGTCTGAAAGTCTAATAGTCACATAGAAGAAGTACGTTTCTGACACATGTTAAAAGGACTTGTATTTTAACATAAAACCTGAAATATTTGGTAAGCATTTTTTGGTAAAATTTTTTACTAAAAATGTTTACTTAGATATACTTGAACATGTATACAGCATTCTTAATCAAAAAATTCAATTATCTATCATTTACATTTTTAAAGATTTATTTTTATTTGTTTATACATTCAAGAACTGGGATGTAGGCCAGCGGTGTGGGGCATGAGAGGATTCACCAGAGACAGAGTGAGGGGCAGAACAGGCAGATGTACTGAAATACACTGCTGAGGGGAGCAGTGGGCAAGATAGGAGCAGTATGCTGTGCCATATGTGGGTTAGCTCCCTGGCTGGGAACAAACTCAGGCCACAGCAGTGATAGCTCCATAGTGCTGAGACTTAACCCCTACGCCACCAGGGAGGTTTTCTTGAGAATCTTTGTATATGCTATTAAGCAATGACTGTTCTTTGTTTTGTTGCTTACTATAGTGAAGTACCGTCTGACAGGGATGGTAATGAGGCTCAGATGGCAAGTGACAGAAATAAAACTGAAAAGTTGATAGGAGTTCAGTTAACGGATATCCAATTTGGAACTGGGGTTAAAACTGAACAGGGTGGAGAATTTGAACTACAAGAGGACACTGCACTATGGCTACAAAAGAGTGTGAAAGAGAAATTTTTAAAGTTGAATGTGACACTTCGGTTTATACACTTGCCACAAGTAGACACACATTGAAAATGTGCTAGATCTTTCACTACAGAACACGGATGGGGCCTCCCTGGTGGCACAAAGGGTTAAGACGCAACCTATGAAGCTATCCACAGCCACTGCAGCACGAGTTCGATCCCCGGCCAGGGAGCTACCCACATGGCGCAACAGACCTCTCCTGTCTTGCCCGCTACTCCCCTCAGCAATGTATTTCAGTCAGTCTTCCTGTTCTGTTCCCTACTCTGTCTCTGGTGAATCCTCTCACCACCACCCCCACACCTCTGGCCTGTACCCCAGTTCTTGTATGCATAATAAAATAAATCTTTAAAAAAAAAAAAGAACACAGACAAATTCAAATGCTTTGGCCTACAATGTCACATATATACATCTAAGAATATGTGTGAGGGGCAGGAGCAGCAGGACAAAGACAGACACTGGCAAGTACACATCAGGTAAGGCATCAGGAACATGGGGCCTCCCTGGCGGCCTAGAGGTTAAGTTTCAGAGCTATCACTGCTACAGCCTGAGTTTGATCCCTGGCCAGGAAGCAACCCACATGAAGCAGCAGACCTCTCCTGTCTCACCCACTGCTCCCCTCGGCAGTGTATTTCAGTGGATCCATCTGTTCTGCTCCCCACTCTGTCTCTGGTGAATCCTCCCACCCCCTGCACCTCTGGCATACACCCCAGTTCTGATATGCAAAAAAAATTTAAAAATCGCTTGGGGAAAAAAAAAATAAGATATCAGGAACAGTCTAAGTTTAAAAACAGCCACCTTTTCCCCATTTACGAAAGGGCAGGCCATTGATCCTTTCCTTTCTTTCTTAGTGTTTCCCTGTCCAGTGCTTGCCTTACAGTGGAATCCTAAACTCCAAGGAGAAAAGAAAAAGGAGATAAAGAAGAATACAAATGGCATGTAAACTGAATACCTACAACCCACTCCCATACCTCAGTCTCCCTTTCCATTAACATGGTATCATAGAACATTCACAAGAGTTGTAAAGCATACCCTCCTCAAGCATCGATGATTTCCGACTCGTGTAACAATTTACAATTATTTTTATGTTGCTATTTTCCTTAATCTATCTATATTATTACATTGTTGGGTAATTATAACAACTTATTCCTCAGCATCCATTCAACATTTAAAAGTCAGGTTTATCAAATAGTCTCACTGCTATTGGTCTCTAAGAAAAATCACAGCCCAGCTTAACAGTTATTCTGAATATCCCTACTATGTCTTGCACAAAACAATTATCCCCAAATTGTAACAAGTACAAAAGTGCTTTAACTAAAAATCCACTAATAAATATTACATAAATCTACTACATGTCTATCAAAAAGTTTACCATACACAGAGAAAATTTCTTCTTCCCCCATTTTATCCTTTAATTATAAATGAGAACACATTCAGTTTGAACTCACCCATCATGGTAACCAGCTCCACAATCTGAAAATTAAGGAAATGGTTCTCCCATCAGCATTCTTTAATGCCTTGGAAGGTAAAAAGATTAATGCATTAATTAAGGAGAGACAAAAGCAGCATCTACAAAAGAAAAAAGTCAGTATAAACAACACTAATGAGAAATATACAGTAATAATACTTACCACATCTTGCTAGGGAGAGGTTTTTTTTAGCTATTCAGTTAATGAGAATGAACTACAGAGAGGGAGAGATTTTGAGGGAATATGGACTAATGAAATAATAATTTGCAATGACAAATATAAATATAAGTGAAAAAAGTCATAATGTTTAGAAACAAAAGGAAGGATGTCAGCAAAGTTGTAAAGATCTACACAAATTTTCTCCCATAAAAGAAAAAATTGTCAGAATCAACTTTTCAGAACTCTGGAATTAACCAAAGGCTAAGCAGCAATCTGCTGCTTATTTCAGAATCTTGGTAAAAAAGAGAGCTTTGTGGTGTTCTGACCTCTGTTTCTATCTCCCCATACCCTCCCCCCAGCTCCAAAGTAGCAACATAAACCAACAGCCCACAAACACTGAAAATGAGCAGCCTAGCAGTCACTAGAGAGTAGAAAATGGAATTAAATGGCCTTCAATGTCCGATTCCCCAAACACTGTCATTACTTGACCTGTCTAGGGGTTTGCTGGCAAACCACTCTTGAAAGCTATCTTAACCTGACTCAAAGCATTTCCAGTGCAAGAGGCTGGGATATTTGTTGAGGCCAATCAGGGCCAATTGTTGCATATTTCAACTGGCTAAAGAAAGAGGGAACAGCTGGGGCAAACAACAGATTAAACAGTTTTTTTAAGGGCCTCCGTGATGGTGTAAGGGTTAAATCTCAGCACTATCACCGTGACAGCCTGAGTTTGATCCCTGGCCAAGGAGATAACCCACATACAGCACAGTAGACCTCTCCTGTCTCCCCCATTGCTCCCCTTAGCAGTGTATTTTAGTGGATCTGCCTGTTCTGCTGCCCACTGTGTCTCTCTGATGAATCCTCTCACCACCCCACCTCTGACCTGCACCCCAATTCTTCTACACAAAAATAGTTCTTTTTAAAAAGTTTTTTTTAAGATTTACTTACTTATTTATTTGTTTGTTTGTTTGTTTGTACAAGAACTGGGGTACAGGCCAGATTCACGGGAGGGTGAGAGAATTCACCAGAGACAGAGCGGGGAACACAACAGGCAGACTGACGAAATACACTGCTGAGGGGAGCAGCAGATGTGACAGGAGAGGTCTGCCGTGCCAGGTGGGACCCTCGCCGGCCGGCCGGGATCAAACCGGCACTACAGAGGCTGCGGACAGCTTCTTAGTGCGGCGCTAAACCACCTGCACCACCAGGGGAGGCCCAGTTTTTGTTTGTTTTTTTAGAAAAAGCTGATATCAATGGGCACCTTTGAAAAGCTCCAATAGATTTCTGGGAATCTAGAAGTCACACAAATGCCCAGTACTGCTGCATACTCAAGAAAGGCCTGAGAAGGCCCTTGGTTTTCATCTTTGCTTAATCCTGAGGCTCTGTGTAAGCAATAAGTGGAAATTATGGCAGAGAAGTAAACGTCAGGGAGAATGTTAAAGACCAGTCTCACCATAAACAAAGAGAACCTCTCAAAAAAAACTAGGATACTTATTGGTTATAGACATTAAAAGAAATCCCTGTGAATCATTACAGACTTGAAAAAATTCTCAAAAGTCTCTAAACAAGTAAATAAAAACAACAACAAAAAAATAACAGGGAGGGAGAAGAATCTGATTTCCAGAGGTAGAATACTATATAATACTTAAAATGTCCAGTTTTCAAGAAACTATTATGAGACATACAAAGACAATATGATTCACACACCAGAAAAAATGCAAACAGAAACTAGGAAACCCAAATGTTAAACTAAGTAGACAAAGACACTAAATTAGCTATTTTAAATACATTCAAACAGTAAAGATGACTAAAGAAGAATGCATATGAAACATGTCTCATCATACAGAGTACCAACAAAGAAAAAAAACTTATGAACTGGAAACAGAGACATTTTGGAGTTGGAAAGTAAATTAACAAAAGTCATATAGTATACCAACAAATGCACAAAGAGAGTCCCAGAAGAGGAGAAAAAGAGAAAGACTATTTCAAGAAATAATGCAAAAAACTTCCCACATTTTGTGGCAAACAAACCTGCATACCTAAGTTCTACAAACTTTAAGGAAGATAAAATCAAAGTGACCCACACCTAGAGGTATCATAGTCAAACTACTGAAAGACAAAAAAATCTTGAAAGCCACAAAAGAGAAAAAATGTATCACATCACAGGATGTTCAACTAATTTTTCCTTATTAACTTAGGACACCAGGAAACAACAGGATGACATATTCAAAGTGCTAAAAGAGACTGTCCACCAAGACTCCTATCCAGCAAGACCATCTTACAAAACTGAAGGAAAAAACTAAGATATTCCCACTTAAACAAACAAATACTTCAATAAAACCAGACTTGCCTTATAAGAAATACTAAAGAAGGGACTCCCTGGTGGTGCAAGGGGTTAAGCACTGCACTATGAAGAAATCTGCAGCCTCTGCAGCACCAGTTCAATCCCTTGCCGGCCAGGGAACATCCCACATGGCGCAGCAGACCTCTCCTGACTTGCCTGCTGCTCCCCTCAGCAGTGTACTTCTGTCAATTTGCCTGTTCTGTTCCCCACTCTGTCTCTGGTGAATCCTCTCACTCCCCGTATCTCTGGCCTGTATGTACCCCAGCTCTTGTATGCATAAATAAATCAATCTTTAAAAAAAAAAAAAAAAGAGGGCCTCTGGTGCAGTCTGCAGCGCCGGTTCGATCCCCGGCCACTGGCGAGGGTCCCACATGGCACGCAGACCTCTCCTGCCGCCCGCTGCTCCCCTGGGCAGTGTACTTCGTTACTCTGCTCTGGCTCTGGTGAATTCTCTCACCCTCCCGTGCCTCTGATTGTACCCAGTGCTTGTGTAAATAAATGGATAAATCTTTAAAAAAAAAAGAAAGAAATACTAAAGGAGTCCTTCAGGCTGAAATGAAAGAACACTAGACAGTAAATCCAATCCAGATGAATAGTAAATAGTACCAGTAATGGTAATTATGTAAATAAAAATAAAAGACAGCTTAAATTTATTTTTTGCTCCAAACTATTTATTTCTCCTATCTGACTGTGGCAGATAGGCGATGTCCTATCTACCCAGAGACGTCCATGTCTCAAGTTCTATAACTCTTGCACATAAATTACCTTATACGGCAAGAAGGATTTTGCAGATAAGATAAATTAAGAAATGTAAAACGGGAAGATATTCCTGGATTATTTGGTTGGGCCCAGCATAACCACAGGGGTCCTTATAAATCAAACAAAAAAAAAAAAAGTGAGAGTGATACAGCAAAAGAACTGCTTAAGTGGCCATGAGGCAATGAATGCAGGAAGCTGCAAAGAAATAGAAAAAGGCAAGAAAACAGGGTCTCCCCAGGGGCGCAGCGATTGAGCGCTGGGCTGCGAAGCTGCCCCCAGTTTCTGCAGCACTGGTTCGATCCCAGGCCGCTGGGCGAGGGTCCCACATGGCGCACAGGCCTCTCCTGCAGCCGGCTGCTCCCCTCAGCAGTGTATTTCTGTTCTGCTCCCCGCTCTGGCTCTGGTGAATTCTCTCACCCTCCCATGCTTCTGACTGTAGCCAGTGCTTGTATGAATAAATAAACAAACAAACAGACTGTCCCCGTTAAATGTGGAGACCTGGATTTGAGCCCATTAAAACTCATTTCAGACTATTGACTTCAAAAACTTAAAGATAATAAACTTATATGGTTTAAAGCCACCAAGTATGTGGTAATCTCTTAAGAGTAGCTTGTGGGGAGTATTCAAGACAACCCCCAGTTTCAGTGACTTGCTAGAGGACTCAGTGGATTCAGCAATACAGTCTTATTGACAACTATGATTTATTAGAGTGAAAGAACACAAAGCAAGATCAGCAAAAGGAAAAGGCAGAAGGGGAAAAGTCCTAGGGAGTCCAGGATGAGTTCATTTTTTTAGTAGTCACTGAGGACACACATTCTTCAAGACACCCCCTCCCATCTCTCCCCAGCAATGGGTTCGGACACTACATATGAAATATCACCAAACAGGGCCTCCCCTGGTGGCGCAGCGGTTGAGCGCTGGGCTACGAAGCTGCCCACAGCCTCTGCAGCGCTTGCTTGATCCCCGGCCACCAGCGAGGGTCCCACATGGCGCGCAGACCTCTCCTGCTGCCCGCTGCTCCCCTCAGCAGTGTATTTCTTCAGTCTGCCTGTTCTGCTCCCCACTCTGGCTCTGGTGAATTCTCTCACCCTCCCGTGCTTCTGACTGTACCCAGTGCTTGTATAAATAAATAAATAAATCTTTAAAAAATAAATAAATAAGTAAACATCACCAAACAGCAAAGCTCATTAGAGTGGCTCAGCATGCAGGTTTTACTGGGGGCTGATCATATAGGCATCCTCTACTAAGTATATAACAAAATTTCAGCCTCCCAGCGGAAAAAAGCAGGTGTTCAGTATAACCTGTATTGTTTATATAAGCAGCTTAGGCACAGTGAACCATTCTTACTAGTTACTCAGGTGGGAACCTTCCTGAAAATCAAATTCTCAGAGGCCAGTCTAAAGTACACTTCATAAACAGTTCATTCTAAAAATAAACAGTGAGGCCTGCTAGGTTAATTTTCTTCTACATAAACAGCAACAGAAAACTAATACACAGGCTTAAAGAAAAACTACAAAATAATCATAAATGTGAAGCTGGGGATACAATATATAATGACACAGTATTCATAACAACAATAGCACAAAGGGCGGAGGGGATGGAGTTCATAAAACTGTTGGTAAACTGCCTCAATTGAGTTGGTATTAACGTGTTTAAGTTGAGAGGCTAATTTTAACCCCCAGGTCAACCACAAAAAATGAATTTTAAAAAACAACAGAAGAAACGAGAATTACAGTAGCATGCTAGAAAATGTCTACTTAGCACAAAAGGCAGCAGTAAATGAACTCAG